GCATCCCTGACTGCCCCAAAAGGGAGCCATTTGGCTGCAAAAGTTCATCCCTACTGCAGCTGCCAACAAATTCTCCATATGCTGGCTGACTGGGAAGACAGCCTGGCCCCAACCCAGGGAAGTATGGCTAGGGAAACTTTCTCTGACCTCCCTGGGCATGGAACTGAGTGTGGGATTGTCTCTGCCTGAGGCTCACTAATGATCAGGGGAGTGGACCAGTCTCCAGAATTCTTTTAGGCGAGAAAGAAAATCCCTTGATGCCACTTTGGTGTATGCCTTAAAATGGCCTGCATTCCTGAATCAAACAAACTCCCCAGAGGAAAAAATGAGGCTCAAAAACAATAGGCAACATACATGACCCTCCCTTACTATGTTCTTGTCTCAGATCACAGGTTGTTGCAACGAAGTTCCATGGTATTTGCTGGTGTTCATAGGGATAGAGATTTCCGGTTCCATCTAGTGGAAATGACCTGTGTTTGGTGCTGACCAATGGCATGCTCCATTGCAGAGGGACCTTGACTCTGTATAGAATACTCAGAGGAAGTGATGGGCTACTTTGTGAGCTGTCAGGAGAGTTGGAAATTAGTTAATGGAAAGTCTTGTTCCCTGGGAAGGTCTGCCTGCTTCACAGCAGCTGGGAAACCCCAGGCCTTGGCGAAGGCAGGGGGTTCAGCCTTGTTCCTGGTGGATCAGGTCTGGGATCTGACCCTCCTGCCATGGAACAGGACTGGTGTGGTGGGCATTACTCTGCTGCAGGTATTACTTTGTAGAGGCACATATTACGAGGTTTATTCCACAGGGTTTTCAGTTCAATTTTACTTATTTAGGAAAGTGAAGGCTGTTTTAATTGTGTGTCAAGCTAATTTAAAGGTGCTCATAAAGTCATTGAGTGGTGAACAGCCTGATGGATAGAAAATTAGGTGGATTTGAAGAGCATTGTTTCCTTCGTATGTTTCCTAAATTGAGTTATTTGATGAAACAACCTATTGTAAATGTTTTAGCCAATTATAAACACATTTGTTTTAGAAAAGAAAAAGGGAGACCTTATTGTTGACTGAGGAAAACACAGGCTCTTAATTCTGTCTGCAAGGCTCTGGTGTTCATTCAGCAAGCGTTCAGTGCTGGCAGTGGGGTGGGTTCTGAGGATCTACAACCTGGTGGTATGGTCCCTTGCTTGGTCCATGCTGAGGTCTCTGGTCCAGGAATCAGTGCAGTCTGGTGGGAGCTCCGGAGGGATACATGGATTCCATGAGAGTAGGCCAGTGGGCATGGCAGCTCCCCACATCCTCAAGAGATGGGAAGAGACTTCCCAGAAGAGGATACATGGAATAACTAATGAGAGAAAAATTAACCTGTAAAGTATGGGTTCTCTCTGAAACCTGCCGGAGGAACGGGGGAAAGCCCAGGCAGGAAGAAGGGATGGAGATGCTGGGCCTGCTCAGGTGGGGTTAAGAGTAGAAGTTTGTGAGATGGCTTTTCCCCCTTCGCCTTGAAGACATTCTGATTCATGGTCCTTCAGTCCACCCAGCCATGAATTTTCCCACTCCCCCTGCTCCAACCCAGCCTCTGCAACTGGGAGTCCTACGCTTACTCCCCCAAGCCTTTGTTCTTGGACACCCCTCTTATGAGCCTGACAAAGAGCTCCTGTGAAGGCTTCAGGATGTGTCCTTGTCCTCTCCCTTTCCCTGGAATTGCATTACAGGAATGGCTTTCACACAGGAGAAGTTTTGCTGTCAGGGGACACAGAGCAATGTCTGTAGACAGTCTGGTTGTCACAGGTGGGTGGTGGTATTCTGGTATCTAGTGAGTAGGAGCCAGGTTTGCTGCCAAATATCCAGTAATGCACGGGGCAGCCCCCTCCCCCAACAGAGAATTAACAGTGTGAGGCTTAAAAACCTTGCTTTATAGAGATGGTTATATCCCTTATCAGTTACACTACATTTGTGGTCTGTCCCTCCCCCTGCTGGGCACTGAGGGCCATGATTACAAATTTTACTCACCTGGCATCCCCAGCCTCCAGCGAGGCTCTTGACACAGGAAGGCAGGTCAGAAAAATGCCCAAGGCTGAGTGGCATGACCTGTGTCATCCTTAGACCAGAAGTAGGCTGGTGAGCTGAGTGGCACAACTCCTCTACTTGTGCATTCTCAATCTCGGCCACTTCTGTACCTGCCCCCACTACAAAGTCAGGCGAGAGACTAAAGTGCAAAACATCAGTCACATTAATTATCAGACAATAAATTGTCAAAGAAGAGTAACACAGCTGTAACTATGTGCACATGTCCTTTTTCATTTGATCTCCTGTAGAGAGGAAATATCCCCTTTGCATGACTACTTGAAGGAGCATCCCTGTTTATAGCTGACTGATGAGGAGAGCAGGGCTGCTGGATGTGAGCAGTAGCTCGTAACCTCGGATAGTGTCAGGATGACCTGGATGGCTTTTGATGTGCTCTGACACCTGTCAGTATCATGCCTGTGGCTTGGGGCAGAACCTCCAGAAGTATGTTTCTGAGACTGAGTTGAGGGAACCAGCATCCTTTTAGCTAGTCCTATAAACAAATAGGGACTTGAAAGGCTTGGTAGGTAGTTTTGAGCCATGTTTTGAATGAGAGTAAAAACTCTTAGGAAATTTGAAGACATTTGATAGTGTTGACAAAGTGCTTGGAGTTCTTTTTGCAAACCCCTGTCAATACTGTGTCCTGTCGATATTGTCCCTGTCAATACCTGTCAATACGGGGCTTTACAGAACAAACCTAATACAAGGCCACCTGCAGACCCGACAGCTTCTCTGAGGAGGCTGTCTTTTGAGCCCCTGTGGCAGAGAGCCAGTGACCTGGCCCCTGGGCTCCAGACTTGTTAACATCTGGGCAGGGCTGGAGGGTGTAGTAGCTTTTCTTGTCACTCACCTCTTGGTTCCTCGAGTTTATTTATTTATTTATTTATTAAAGCCTAGAGTGGAAGGGAAGAGCTGGGAGGTGTTTCCCTGGTGGGAGTGGGTAGGTCCTCAGAGGTCGGGATGGTCATCTCCACTCCACTCTGCTGTCAGTCATCGCCAAGGTTGCTGTCCCAGGAGGTCACCAGCTCTCCCACTGGGCATGTGCTAGTAATTAAGCATTATTGTCCTGAGGATGTTATTTTTGACACACTTTCTACACAGATGAGGAAGAGTCCTCTGGAAAGTAGCTGGAAATGATCTATACCAGAGAGAGAGAGAGAGAAGGGTCCTGGATGTGTCCCTCAGCAGAGTATACTGTGCTTAATAGGTTGGTTGGTTTGTGAAATGATTCTTTTGACTGCCTTATTTCAGGTGTATAATTCATTGGTTTTAAATAAATTCACAGTTTTATAACCATCACTATAATGATTTTTCACAATCATTTCTATAGTAATTTTAGAACATTTTCATCACCACAAAGGGGCATTAGCAAGCACATTCCATTTCCCCTAGACCCCCCACCCCCATCCTAGTCAATCCCTAACCTACTTGTCTCTGTAGATTTGCCTCTTCTGGACATTTCATATAAGCAGAATCATGCAATATGTGGTCTTTTTGTGACTGGCATCTTTTACTTAGTATAGATGCAATACTTCATTCTTTTTTATTACTAAATAATTTCATTGTATGGATCGACCATGTTTTGTTCATTAGTTGGTGAACTTTGGGGTTATTTACACTCTTATGAATGTTGCTCTAAAAATCTTTGCAAGTTTTCACGTGGGGTAAGTTTTTCGTTCTTTTGGAGTTATACTTAGGAGTGGAATTTCTGGGTCATGTGACAACTGTTTAACCTTGGGGAAGTGCCAGACTATTTTTCCAAAACTGCTATACGTTTAAATTCCCTCCAGAAGTACAAGGGTTCTGATTGCTTCACATCCTTACCAATTCTTATTACTGTATAGAAATTGACTCAAAGACAAATAAGATAAAACTGTAAAACTCTTAAAACATAGGGAGCAAGTCATAGTATAGCCATCCTAGCGTATGAAGTAGCATCACATTGTGGGTTTGGTTTGCATTTCCCTAATGACAATGAGATCTTTTCAGTTGCTGTTGGCCATTTGTAAGTCTTTGGAGAAGTGTCACCATTTCTCAGCCTTCTAGCTAAGATCAAATATGTAGAAATGTGTGTTCCAGTCCTTTGCCCAATTTTTATACCGGTTTCTCTTTTTATTGTTAAGCTCCAAGTGTTCTTTATATGTTCATGGCACGAGTCCTATATCGGATATAGGATTTGCAAATGTTTTCTCCCATCTTTTCACTGTCTTGATGTTTTGGGTGCACATAAATTTTGACACTCCAATTTACTCTTTTTCTTTTGATGGTTTTGGTGTTGTATCTAAGAAAACCTTGCCTGATCCAAGGTCACAATGACTTGCTCCCTATGTTTTAAGAGTTTTACAGTTTTATCTCGTTTGTCTTTGAGTCAATTTCTATATGTGGTGAGATAGTGGTCTAACATCATTCATTTGCAAGTATAGATATCCATTTTCCCTTGTACCATTTAATGAACAGACTATTCATTCCCTAATAGAATTGTTTTGGCACTCTTGTCAAAAATCAATTGACTGTCAACGTCACTGTGACAGTTGTATGTCATTGATCTGCATGTCTTTCCTTATGCCAGCACCACACTCCTGAGTACCATATATTATAGTAAGTTTTAAAATTTAGAAGTGGAATTCCTATAGCTTTGTCTTTCTTTTTCAAGGTATTTTGCCTATTCTGTAGATTTTCCATATGAATTTTAGGGTCGGCTTGTTAATTTCTGCAAAGAAGCCAGCTGGGATCTTGATCCTTATGTTGCATTTGTAAATAAATTCGAGGAGTGTTACTATCTTAACAATATTGTCCTTTAATCCATTACCCCCAGGTTTTTCAGTTTATTTAGATCTATAATTTTTTTCAACAGTAATTTACAGTTTCATAACACTTGAGCTTTTTCCTAACTATTTTTGATGCTATTATAAATACACGAGGGATCATTTTTTCCTGTTCTTTCAGAGAGTTGCAGACCTGGAGCAAGAAAATGCTCTCCTGAAAGATGAGAAAGAACAGCTGAATAACCAAATTCTGTGCCAATCTAAAGGTAAGGCCCAAAGCCCTTGAGTTTTGTTTGGATTTTAATCTCTTCCTCTCTGGTTTCCCCCCAAAGACTCCTAGACACTGCAGTGGAGGAAGGGCTTGAATGGGGGTGGGGTGATCTCTAAGTTCATGCTGTGACATTCGGTTTGAAGAGAGCGATGCCAAGCAGCCTCTGCTGTGTGGCCTTGGGCAGCTTCTGGATTTATTTCTATGCAAACTGGTCAGAGGACAGAGCTCACAGGAGGAAGATGCACAGGTGAAGGGCTAAGGCTGGAGCTTGCAGTGAGCGCCCTTGTGCTGTTAACATCTACCTTCAGCATCCACAGTACCTGTTTCTGTTATCTAGTGAGTCATCTGTTAATGGCTGCTCAAGCAGAGGTCTTGGATTAGACCCCAGGTCAACCTCAAACACCCACCAGCTCCTGGACTGCCATCCACTTGGCTATGGAGGGGCAAAGGGAGCCTATAGACTCCAGTTCTGTCCCCAGATCTGTGTGACCTAGTCCCCGGCCCCCATCCTCAGATTCCTCATCCATATCACCAGGCAGCCGAACCACATGACCTCACAGTGCCATCCGGCATAAAATATTGTAACATGGTTTGTCAATTTCCCCTTAAAAAGCTTCCCTTGCTGTATCAAGCTTGGCCAGGACAAAAGCCCATCTGTGTTGCTTCTTTGACTTTCCTCCTTCCCCAGCCTCACTTTTGGCTTAATCTCCTCCAACCTCCTGCACTCCAGAACCTAAAAAATCAGGAATAGGGAAGGAGCTGGGAAGCAGCTTCAGTTCTGCCAGGAATGCTGCCCTCAGTTGCTGGCAGTTGTCACTGAGAGGCAGGTGGATTATCCAGGCTCCTCCCGCCCCACCTCCAGGGCAGAGTTGTTTCTTCTCCCTTTTCTGAAGACTTAGGCCAGAGTGATGAGCTTCCCCTGCTTTGCAGTAGGTGAGGAGTTGCGCAGGCCATCAGGTGATGAGCTCGCGCTCGGCTGCCTCTTGACAATAGAAAGCAGGCGACAATGCGTGTAAGGGGGGTCCACTCAGATGGCAGCACTGCAGCTCAGTGTGCCTTCATTCCAGATGAATTTGCACAAAACTCCGTGAAGGAGAACCTTCTGATGAAGAAAGAGCTGGAGGAGGAGCGTTCCCGGTACCAGAACCTGGTGAAGGAATATTCCCGGTTGGAGCAGAGATACGACAACCTGCGGGATGAGGTGACCATTCTAAAGGCAAGGAGGGCAGTTCTGCAATGCTGGCCCCTCTGTCTCCCCTTTCCAACTTGGCCTTATGGCCCTTGCCCTGGTGCACCTGACCCACCGTGATGCTCAGTACACATGTACGCACACAGCAGGCCCCTGGTGTCTGTACTTGCATCCATGGGAGGAGCTGAGCTGGGAGGTTCCTTCCTGAGGATGCTCTTTTTCCAGGGTCAAGGTTTTGTAAAGATCTCAGGAGCTGAGCTAGGTGCTATGGCACATGACTATACTGCCAGTGACTCGGAAGGCTAAGGCAAGAGGATCACAAGTTCAAGGTCAATCTCAGCATCTCAGTGAGACCCTGTCCCAAAATTTTAAAGTGCAGGTGATGGGGTCCTGGGAATGTAGCTCAGTGGTGGGTTCAATCCCCAGTACAAAAAAAAAAAAAAAAAAAATCCCCATCAAGTATTGTGTGATGGCTCCTGTTTCTTGTTCTAGGAAGACTCCTATGTTGACACAGTAATGGTGTGGGGGCTTTAACTCGGCTACACTGAAGTGTGTAATAGTATGTGTAGCAGAGAAGCCCATGGGCCTGCTCATGCCTCCTATCTCATGAAAAACAGGGTATGTGAAGCATTTTCATATTTCAGGATTCATCATTCTTTACCCCATATAAACATTCCCTCAAGACATGCATCTCAAGACCAAGAGAGTTAATTGTGTAGAAGCCAGGAAGAGAAGCTGAATAGGAACTTATATAGAAATCTGCAGTCTTCCTCTAAGCTCACTTTTCACTATGAAATCCAAAGCAGATGCCAAAAATAAACCCAAATATATTTTTAAATGAGCTGTATAAATGATAAATCTATTTTTGATTGCTTCTATTCTGATATGCTCCACCATAAACAAGACTGGTGCGCCAGTTGAAGGGAGGGATTGTTTGGGGTAGCCTTCCCCCAGCCCTTTTTATTTATTTCGAGACAAGTTCTTGCTAAGTTGACCAGGCTGACCTTGAATCTGTGATCCTCCTGCCTCAGCTTCCTGAGTGTTCTTTTTAAGAGACAGCCTGGGTGTGGGACCCTTTACATATTTTGAGGACAAGACTGGGAATGACGAGTCGTTCCCCAAGGATTGGTCAGAGAAATAGGCCTTGGCATTGTGGGTTTGCCTGCCATTGAGAGACCAAGGAACACAATCCTTCCTGCAGAGCCATGCTGTCTTCTGTCACGTTGATGGCTAGCCAGGTGGATGACTAAGAACTACAGGTGAGGTCTTTTGTGGGAATAGCTCTATTTAGCCATCGTTTTGAGAAACTGTGATACCTATTCGTGCTGACAAATGAAGCAGGAGCAAATCCAAGGCGTGCTGCTTCTTAAGTTAGTTCTTACTAATAAATGAGTTCATTATGACATGTCACATCTCTCTTTCTGAACAGCAAACCCCAGGTCATAGGCGGAACCCATCAAACCAAAGTAGCTTGGAATCTGACTCCAATTACCCCTCCATATCCACATCTGAGATCGGAGACACTGAGGATGCCCTCCAGCAGGTGGAGGTAGGTGAGAGGGTTCTTGGTGGCTCCCCCACCCCAGAGTGAGTGTTTATTACCTGTGGTGCTGCCTAACAGACCAGCTGTTGGTGGTGACCAGAGTGCACTGGGGCTAGTCCTGGAGAAGCAGGATCACTGACTGGGACTGCAGTGGACTTACAGATCACACTCAGCTCGGGGCTAACATTTTCCGTGCTGAGCAGCCTAAACTTCCCTAATTCACTATACAGAAGGGAGGGAGGAAGGTAGATCCCTGGTTCCCCTAACAAAACTGGGGCAGAGGGCTAAAATGACTCACTTAAGAAGGCAAAGTGATTAAAACAGGTACAGTTTATTACCCCTCCCATTTAGTAACAGTGCATATGGTAATATGAATAAGTACAACACAGAATTCTCCCCTCCAACTTGGAAGCTGGGTAACTCAAGAATAGTGTGTGAAACAGAAATGTGCAGGGGTGTCTCTTTGTGCTGATAATAGCTCTTGCCATCTTGAAGTCAAATACCATACAATATGTGTTGTGTGTTTCATTCTATCAAAGATGTATAGGCATATTGATTCTCCTAGTAGGAAGATAATATAAAGCAGGTGGAGGTAGACTTGGGAAAGAGACTGTTACAACTAAGTGTGTTTCCAGCATGTCTGTGTCATGTGGATATAAAAAAAAAATAGTAACAAGCCAGAGAAGGCCTCTGCCCTCATGGAGCTTATCTAGTGGAGAGTTAGACAGTAAATAGTGAAAAGAAAAAATGTGCGATATAATTTCAGGTACCACTAAGTGTTATGAAGAAAAGTGAAAGTTGATAAAGACAGAAAACAATGGAATAGAGGGTGGAGGGAGGGAAGAGATCCTCAGCAGAAAGTTTTCTGGCTGTTGTACAGTTCTGCGGAGCTTGCTATGTGCACTTGGTGAGCCTTTAATAAATGCTGGCTTAAGGCCATTGGCTTTGCTCTTGGGGGGGTCTCGGTCTAGGTCACTGGGAGCTCCATTTGGACTGAGCTGCTGGTGCACTGCCCAGTTTGTGTTTGCCTGTTTCCACACAGAAGCACTGCCATCCCCAGGTCTGCATTCTCCAAGGAAGCAAGACCTATCCAGTGACAGCTAAGCATGGAGCGCTTATTAAATGAGGGTGGAACCAGATCATATTGTCATGCATTCACATATGTGTACTTAAAAACAGTCTGTATTCATACACATTACCCAGTCACATGTCTGTACACACAAACCTACACATAACAGAACCCTGGAGGGCAAATCTAGGCATGAATCTGACAGGGGAAAAAAATCTAGGAAATTGATGCTTTAAGATCTTTTTGAGTTCCATGGCAGGGCTCCATTTCAAGATGCAATCCTTGGGTATTACTGGGGATGCTTTGGCTATGAAATTTTAAGCTCCATAGGGTCTTCTCGTCTTCTTTGTTTATTCCTGCCTCTTCTCAGAAAGATTAATTTTACTGAAAGTAAGAGACAGTTAAAACCCCGTTAAGCCATTCATACCATCCCTATTTAAGGAACAAATGATTATGCTACCTTTGCATGGTCAGGATACCATGGCCATTAAACATGTTACTGGGCAGGCAGTGCCTCTAATACTGTTTATGCTAGAGGTGATGTTTTTGGTAAACAGGCAGGGTTGGTGTTTGCAGAGTTCCTTGAAGTCTCTACTAAGCTATAAAAAGCCCTAGTTCTAATAAAAATAATATGCAAAAGTAGTCTTAAAATGTCTGAATTCATGATAGCTAAGGCCCAAACTGGGCTACCCTATTTACTGCCATCTGTTCTGTAACCCAAAATGATGTTTAAAAAAAGTCTCATTTTCTACTTAGTCAACTGGGACTAATAATAGTAACCGTTGGTATCAACCAACCCCACCTAGCATTTCTTCATATCTGCACCCATGCATTTATATGCTCTGGCTCAATCATCCACAACCTAAACGACGTGTTGGTTCCATTTCAAGATGCAATCCAGTGGTGGCCGACAGCATATTTACAATGATTAGTAAAGACATCGATTCTTCATCAGGAAGCATGATATCCTGAGTTTTATGGTTCACTTTCCAGGAGTGAACTCTTTTAGCTTCCAAAGAAAATGAATGTATCTCTATCTATTTGTTCTTAAAATATGGGATTGGTCATTTTAAGTGGCCAACACAGGAGAAATGTAAATGGCTGAGACTCGGACGTTAATCTAGACAGAAAATGAGCCTGGAGCACCAACTGTGATATGAGCAATGCCGGTTGGTTGGTGTCGACTTTGTATTTCAGGCACAATTAATGTTTGGGAGGAGCAAGGAGACAGGTGGCTGATAGGTACTGTGTGCTCCCAAAGGCACTTGGGCCATGAAAACCTCTTTTCCCTGCTCCCTTCTTCCTTTACAGGAAATTGGCGTGGAGAAGGCAGCCATGGACATGACAGTGTTCCTGAAGCTGCAGAAGAGGGTGCGGGAGCTCGAGCAGGAGAGGAAGAAGCTGCAGGTGCAGCTGGAGAAGAGAGAGCAGGACAGCAAGAAAGTCCAGGTGTGTGGCAGGACTAGTGCGACCCACCTCACACCTACCAGAGCTCAGGTGGCAGGTGTGACCCTGTGGGATCATGTCGGGGCTGAGTTTCAGGGTACCTTCCCTCTGTGCTGGAGTCACACTGAGTCTCCTCTACCAGTGCCCATGCCACCCAGCTGGGCAGGATGCACTACCCCAGGGTCCCCAGGGCAAAGGCTTTCCACTGGGAAGCTGCAGGGGGATCTGGCATTTTTGTGCCACTTACAAAAATGCTGTGAAATTACATATAAAAGTCAAATTTTGTCAGAGAAAGCCAGTTGCCTTTTCATACCTGGATCTGGCATGGGCTTGAGCTCAGCCACCTAGTCAGGGCAGCCCAGAGGCACAGTCACTCGCCCTTCAGTGGCCGTGGCTGTACCTTTGCCATAGTCCTGATCATCATCAGCCTCTTTAGTCTTGATGTTGTTTGAAATTTCGTGGCCAAGAAGTAATCATTCTCTGGAGGACCTATTAGGTGCCTGTGCTATCCCCAGAAGTGTGCCAGCACCAGGCTCATGGAGGGTACACAAAGTGTGTGTTCAAGAGGAGATGAAAATGTCAGCAGTCCTCAGCCATGGAGGATTTCAAAATCTAGTTTGGGAGTAGCAGAAATAGATTGGTGGAGAGTAGGTGATCATCTTGGTGGCGCTCACAGGAAGGCAGAGTGAGAACAAGCAGGTTGGTGCTGTGGCAACAGCAGCAGGAGGTAAGGGCCACTTTTTATCTCTTTGGGGACATACACACCATTTTTTTGAGATATAGAAATCCACCTCTCACCTGGGTCGTACCATTAGCTGACTGCATGGTCTTCCCTTTCCATTCAGATGTGGCGTTCACTCAAATCTCTATTGCTATCAAATTCTTGGGCGTTTTGTTTTACTCAGCAGTAAGTGGAGAGGTAAATCTCGCTGATGGATTTAGATCTCTCAGGTGGGCTTAGATTCAGAATGGAGAAAGGATTAGGTTTATAAATGACTCCTTCGATCATAAGGGAAGCCACCTTGACAGGTAGGTGCAAATCAGATACTGTGCAGATGCCCCTGGACTCGGCATAGGTTACCGAGTTACGTCCCAATAAAATCATCAGTTGAAAATGGGTCAATTACAGCTGACCTGCCAAATACCCGAACTTGGCAACAAGGTCCACTGTAGAGCCTTGGTTGTTTCCCCTCATGATCGTGGGGCTGACCGGGAACTGTGGCATGCTGCCCAGCCCAGTGTCACCAGAGAGTAGCTGGTGATCACTTGCATGAGAGATGATCCAAATTCAAAATTTGAAATACACATTTTGCTGAACACACATTGCTTTAATACCATCGTAAACTTGAAAGATTATAAGTCAGCTATCATAATCAGAGACCATCTATACATGAAAAGCTACGCAGACGACACCACACAATGCCTGACAGAAGTTTCTGGCCTCAAATTTGTATGTCATTGATACCAAGTAAAAGGGTATCTCTTTCCTTGAAACATCTCACTGAGCAAGCATTGGAATGATAGGCTCACACCCAGGCTGTCATGTGTCTTGGCATGGTTTTTAAAGGAGAATGTCCTTGTTTCCAGCATTCAGTAAGAAGGGCAGGCATGGGACAGGGAAGAGTACGGAATCCCTCTAGAGCCCCTGAGATGGAGCTTGTAGAGATCAGGGTCCTGAGTCTGCCCTTCGTTCCCAGAGGAATCCTGAGCTACCAGGGTGTTTTTGTTTGTTTCTGGAGAGAGATGGCCCCAGGTCCCAGCCATAGAGGTCATTCCTGAGCAAGAAATAGCAGGGAAGTCTGGTGTGTACCCCTGGTGTGGGAGCCACTGAGCTTCTGCAAAGGTGGGTCCTCTGTGGCAGTGAGCCAGCTGGCAGTTTATTTTGACCTCCCGTCTACTCAGCTTCCTTTCCGTAGGCCTGGCAAAGTTTTTCTCTTTGGCCACTAGAGGAATTCCAGAAGACTGAGCCCTGGGAAACAGCCCATCTTAGTACGCAGCCCCTTGAGTTTGAAGAGGTGATCCCCATTTCCTGAAAATCTCATGTATTGAAAACCATGTTGTCTTGAGGCCAATGTGTACTATATAGAATAAAATTCAGGCTTACTCACTGGGGTAACAGTTGGAGTGTCAGTCCTGGCCAGTCACATCCCTTGTACCACAGGTGATCAGGACGAACAAGACAGAGGTGGGGTTTTCCCCAGGTTGTAGTGCTAGAAGCAATGCAGTGACTATAGGTGGCAGGGGCTGTAGGAGGTGCTCAGGCCCTGTGCCCATCTCCAAGTTCAGGGCACATCCGATCCATCCACAGCTAGTGATGGCCTTACCTGGACGTTGGGTTGTTAGCACTGTAGGTAATCCATAAGTATTTGGAAGTTTTTAACTGTAGACTCATCTTCAGGAATAACACTCACTACTGAAATTTAACCCAAGCAGTTAAGCACTTATGAAGCTGTTTCTACCTTTTCTCCATGGACAAATCAAGTCCAATGACTGCCACATAACTATAGGATTCCTGGGCTCAGCTGAGTCTTTTTATTCCAGCCATTACTGTGTACAACCAAAAGCTTTGGAATCCTGAAGGCAGACTGCATATACTGAGCATCCCTGTGGGCCAGATGTCCTGCTTCCTGTTTTGGAGGGTCATGGAGGAGGTAGCTGTAAGCAAGGCACTTTGAATTTAGTTGAAACAGAATACACATGAGCACACCCCCATAACTGATGTATAGCTCATTAACATCATTAATAGATACTGAAGTTTTACCATGTATATTAGCATCCAAAGGCTTCTGAAACCAAATACCACTGACTGAATAGCTTGCAACAACAGAAGTTTGTTTTTCATAGTTCCAGAGTCCAAAAGTCAGAATTCAAGTCTGTGCTCTGAAGGCTCTAGGGGAAAATCTGTCCCATGCTGTGTTTTGACTTCCAGCATTGCCTGCAACCCCTGGTGCTCCTTGACTTACAGCTGTGTGACTCCAATTCCTGCTTCCATCTTTCCATAGCTGCCTTTACTCCATGTTTGTCTTTTCTTGTGAGGGCACCAGTCCTATGGAAACAGGGCTCCCCCTAATGACTTCATTTACCTTGATTGTATCTGCAGAAACCCTATGTCCAAATAAGGTCATATTCACAGGCTCTGGGAGAGCACACTCATAACATGGTGTCATATGAATTCAATATTATGAGTGCCTCCGGGTACCATGCACGTGAAGTAGAGGCAGGAGGGGGGAATTTATGGAGTGCCTCGTGGTAGCTTGAGTGTGGAGCTGTGTTTTGTAAGTGGGGAGGGAAATGCACTCGTGAAGGGAAGAGGTGCCAGGTATTCTTGCAAAAGCAAGATAAGCAAGTTTTGCCTTTGGTCAGAAATATTTTTGTGGACTGTGTGCCCTGCGGTCCATGCTTACCTGTCTGTGTCTTTGCCTATACAGATGGAACAACCAAGGAATGATGTAGATTTGGACCAAGATGCAGATCTGGCCTACAATAGTCTGAAGGTAAGGTTGGCTGTCCTCCGGCATAGGACAAATGACAAGCTGGGACAAGAAAACCAGGTTCTAATTTCCTTTCGCAGTTTAGTGTCTTCATTTTTTAAATGAAGGAAAAGTTTATATTTACCCCAAGGTACGCTAATCTGTGCCTGGCCTATCTGATACAGTTTCAGTTGAAGTGTGGCCACTGGAATGAAATTGCTTTGAAAGTGCAGACTTGTACCAGCAGATGTAAGGCAGAGGATGACTCTGTGTGTCAGAGGCTGGCCTGGTAGGAGACAGCAAGGTGCAGTGGTGGAGGCCTCAGGCAAGGACCAATGGGCCCATGGTATGAAAGAGGCATGAGAAGAGCCCCATGCTCTTGGCCCATCCCCAAAGACTTGGTAATGGGGCAGTTTATCCAGTCTGCCATTCAGATAACTGCTGGCAGCCACTTTGCCCAAGAAAACATCACTAAATCATTTCCATGGCTTTTTTTCCTTCCAAATTTACCATAGTAAAGTGCACATAATGTAAAATTTACCACCTCAACTATTTTTGAGCATCTGGATCAGTGATATTAAATATATTCACATATTATACAAGCATCTCACCACTATCCATCCCTATGACTCTTTTCATCTTGAAAAACCGAAATTCCACCTCCATTAAGTAACTCCCCTTTCCCCTCTCTCCTCATCCCTTGACTACCACCATTCTACTTTCTATCTCTATGAATTGGACTATTCTAGGTATGTCATGTAAGTGGAATCGTACAACATTCATCTTTTTATGACCAGTTTATTTCCCTTAGTTTAATAATGTCAAGGTTCACCCATCTTGTAGCATGTGAGAATTTTTCTTAAGGAATAATAATTTTACTCTGTATTTACTATATTTAGTTCATCCTTACTTGGTTTGGGGGATTGTTTTCCAGTTGGGTCTTAGAAACCTGCCCACAAGCACATGTATGAGATGAGGATACACTTGGAAGACCCTTCAAAGAGAAGTAATTTTTGTTGAAACCTAGGTACTCACTACCAGAATGTTAGATATTTCCCCAGATCCTTCTATAACACATAACATAACCCCAGCTCAGGACAGAGGCACATTGTTCAGGTACCATGCACAAGGTTTGGGTATGCCAACTACTGGGGATAAGGTCTGGTCAAAGGTCCTTGGGGATGGTCACATGGGGCAGAGCATTGTCTAAGGAGGCCTGAGGGGGTGTGGCTGGGCTGGAAGATGAGGTGCCCTTAAATAGCCACCAGTCTAGGGTGAACAAGGCAGAGGAGAGTGAGCCATGGATGTTGTCAGAGTAGGTGGGGCTGAAGCTCACTATCCCCTGGAGCTGGGTATCAGCTGAGGGATGGGACAGGTGCCAAAAGGACCTGTGACTGCCTCTGGCCTAGGAGTGTGCTGGGCAGAAAGTAGACCTGCTCAAGGATACCTGCAGTTCTGGGTTTTCCTGCTATCGGCCAGAGCTAGACTGAGATCAGGAGATGGTGAGCGCTGACTCGGCTTGCAGAAGAAAAATAAGGTGTCTAAGAGCCCAGGTTGGCACCTAGATCCTTTCCATCTCAACCTACCACTCAAACTTTGCCTCGTCCATTGGTGAGCATGAATCAAGAAAGGTCTAATTAAAATCCTGACAGGGGTAGGGTTGTTTTCTTTCTTAATGTGCTTTTTCTACAGCAGCTTTCCATTTTATTTGTAAACTTATTAAAGTAAGGCTGCTTATCATAGAAAAAAATACAAGAATTTTTTCAAAAAACACTATCCCTGCCTCTTAAAAGCAGCCTCTAAAATTATTTGAATATTCCTTTCCAATGCTTATTCTATGTATTACTTAGATATCTGATATATGTAACTTGATATTTTTTTCATGATCTATGTAAACATGATTTTCATGGTTGGTTGAAATTTTATAACAATTTTCTTTGATTCTCTAATTGTTGACCATGTTCATCGTTCCCATGTTTTACTGTTGTACCATCATGAAACTAGGTTTTGGTGGTGTTTTGTTTTGTTTTGTTTTTTGAGGAAGCAGGATCATTCATGATTATTCCACTAGAATTCTTCAGAATATTAAGAAAGCAACTACTCTGACATGGAGCTGGTTGTACAACTTTAGCTTATTTTATAGGACATGGATCAGTTTTACTGGTTTAAAACATTGTGGAGTTGCAGGGTTGTGGGGGTGGCATTGATCCTATGTAGAAACACATTTGTCCCTTAACTGAAATCATGCAGCCTTCAATGCTGGCACTCTTCCCATGGGAACTGAGGCTCACTTTGCGGTGAATACCTCTATGGGGTGCTCTCCAGGAATGTAGTAAAACAAAACAAAATTTAAAAAATAGGTGCCTAAATTCTGTACAGTAAGGTTCATCTGCCTGGTTCAGTGTCTAATCCAGCCACTTGATGAGAGACCAGGGGCAGGCCAGAGGAACCCTGAAAGGGGAACCTGGAAATGTGGGGTGTGCAGCACCCTAGCCCTGGCCTGCTCTCAGGTGTCCTCTGCATTGTTTTCCTGGATGGTTTTAACCCCCATCCCATGTACCCTCCCAAATGTCAGTCATTATCAACACACTTGTCTATCTCTAGCTTACCCTTTTATCTAGAATCCTTGAACCATCATTCTGACTGCTGTTGCACCATGGGGATCACTGTGGACTTTCTGAACTCCAAAACCCCTTTAGGGCATGAACGTGGCCCAAACATCCAGGTTCTTTTCTCTCTCACCTCCGACATCCAGATAGTCCTGAGATTCTACTTCCTAACTCGGGGACATGCACTCACTCTGTCCTCACGGCTGCCACCCTTGCAACCTTGCTCTTGCCTCTGCCTAGATGTCTAGTCTCCCCCTAGCAATGGAAGAGGCCTCTCTGAGGTGCTGCCCTTCCTAAATCCAGCTCCTTCCCTGGCTTTTCACAGCCCTCCCCCTGCCGGCCCCCTCCCCCTCCTGGCCCCGCGCACTCCTCAGGACAGCATTTCCTGGGCAAGCCCTGCTTCCCCTTTTGTTGAGCCTTTATACCTGGACCTGGAAGTCTTCCCACGCTTCTAACTGCTCCTGGTCCTTTACTTGTCAGGTTAGGCATCGCCTGTCCTCCAGGAACCTGTTTTTACCCCTAAGACTCAGTAGGTGGTGTCTTCTCTGTCCCCTGGTTCACTTGTGTCATGGCATGTTCCAAACAACATAATGATTTGTGTTTTAGTGTAATTATTAGGTTCTAAGTGGGGTTCTGTGTCCACAGCACCAAGCATGGTGCCAAATGTAAAGGCAGAGAATAATTGGTGGTGGGAAGGAAGGATAAAGGAACAGAACTCCATGTCCTCCAGCTGGGACAGCATGGCATTTAAATGCATCAAAAGTATGTCCTTCACACACACACTGTGTGATGATACTCAAATGAGGTACCTAGAGGGGTCAAACTCAGCCAGAAAGTAGAGTGATGGCTGCCAGGGACTGGGGAGGGGGAGGGGCAGGGGGCGAACGGCGGTTGCTGAAAAATTTTTTTGTTTTCTTGAGATGGGATCTCAACTATGTTATCCAGATAGGCCTTGAACTTGGAGTTGTGACTCAGCTTCCTGAGTACCTGGGATTATAGGCATGTACCACTGCACCCAGCCTGGGAGTTGGTTTTTAATAGGGACATTTTCAGTTGGGAAGGGGAAAAAAATGTGGAGATGGAGGAGGTAAAGTTTGTGGAGTGATGTGAACATGCTGATGTTTCAGAAACACGTACCTAACAACAGTCAATGGCAAATCTCGCGTTATGTGTTTCCAACCACAATAAACACATACTTTTTTGACACTGTTTGACCAGAAAGAATGGTGTGAGGATGGCAGTCAGCAAAGAGGGCAGAGGTGCTCGGAGGGACCTGGGGAATAGTGAAGGTGGAGAGCATCCAGGGATGGATGGAGAAGGCGTGAAGAGACACTTCACAGCTGTCCCCTGGGTAGACATCTTTGTGGGAAAGCGGACTCACTTTCCCCCACGTGGCCTTCTTTGTCCTACAGCAGGATCTCCCTGCTGAGCAGGGACATGGGATGACTGCACACAGACACCTAGCCTACAGCCAATGTCACTGAGCCCGTCTGGCTGATCAGAGCTAGAGAACACTTCAGACACCATCTGCTGTCACTCCTTTAAGCCACACCTGAGGAGGCAAAGGCCCAGGGCTGGACGGAGTAGCCTGGAGCCAGGGTAAGAACCCAGGGCTCCTGCTCCAAGCCTGGTGTTCCTCTGCCAAGCAATGAAGGATGCCCTGAGTATCGCCCTCGGCCGCCACTGAGAATGCCACTCGGGCATTGAGTGGATTTTGACCTCTGGACTTAATAGATTCACATGGGGCTGATAAACTCATCAGTAATATTAAGCATAGGTCACTTTACCCCCAGGGTCCCACTTGTGTCTGCAGAATCACACCATGTGTGGCTCATCTCCCCTGAAATCTTCATGTGTTGGTTGGAGTGGTGCGAACGAGAGACCCAGCCCCTCATCCAGCTCAGGGTCTAAACTCACTGTGATCCTTCTCTTCCCTGGACTCGCCTTCCTCATGTGGAAAATAGAGGTGGTGTCCTGGTTCTGTCATCCTATGGCTCTGTAACAGACACACCAGCAGCATCTACTTATCACATTTGTTAGTTTTCTCAGAAATTTTGAATCCTGTCTCTGCCAGAGCTGTACCACAATTTGTGATCATAGGACTTTAAATTTAAACCTCAAACACAAAGTTAAATATACTACCTAGAAGATGTAAAACACATTTCCAAGTTGTCTCAACAGTGATTTTAACTGTATGCTAGGAGTTTTCCCTGCACTGGCATTGAGTTACTGGTTTTCCAAGTGATCAAAATGGCAATACAATTTTGCTGGTGTGTTCTCCAGTATATTACTCCACATGATATTCCTTGAAAAACCAGGGGAGTGCTCCGGACAAATAAGTTAAGGCAACCGTGCATTCTGTATCCCCTCTTGGAAAGTCTAAAAGCATATGGGCATACTAAGGCTTCAGAAAGTCCTGTGCTAACAGCATGTTTAAAATGATGAACTGGGGGACTGGGAGTGTATCTCAGGTGTAGAACACTTGCTTAGCATTTATGGGGCCCTGGGTTTGGTCCCTGGTACTGCAAAAAACAAAGTCCAATGTTTCAACAAAGAAGGGTGTCATAGCCAAATGTGCTTGGAAACACTAGCATATTGAACGACTTTGGGGAATGCTAGAGAGAGACTGTGACATTCCTTACACAGAGAACTTGGGGTTGTGAGTTCAAATCCAGGTCCCAGCATTGCTTGCTGATGCCAGTCAGAACTTTCATCGTGCATTTTGCTATTAAAATGGGGAAATGGCTCTTCACTTCCTCAGTAGACGGGGCAAGTGGTTAAGGCAGGAAAGGAGGAGGCCCACAGGGGAGAGTGCCCTGGATCCAGACAGTAATGGGGAGTGTCACTGGGCTGTCTTCCAGAGGCAGGAGCTGGAGTCAGAGAACAAAAAGCTGAAGAATGACCTGAATGAGCTGAGGAAAGCAGTAGCTGACCAAGCCACACAGAACAACTCCTCCCACAGCTCCCCTGACAGCTACAGCCTCCTGCTGAACCAGCTCAAGCTGGCCAACGAGGAGCTGGAGGTCCGAAAAGAGGAGGTGCTCATCCTCAGGACCCAGATCGTGAACGCTGACCAACGCCGACTTGCTGGCAAGAGCATGGTAACAAGATGGCGGCCGTGGTTGGGCTTGGTGGGGGTGACACTAGGTCATAGACATGGGTTTCCTTATGTGTCTTTATCCATCAGGGTCTTGAGTCTGAAAGTGCAGAGTCTGACTCTGGTCTCCTCTCAAGGCATCACAAGGGACTCACTGCTCTAAGCCAGATGTAGATGTTTCTAGAATATCCTGAAGTTAATGAGATGTTCACAAGGAATGAGAAAGAATTAGATAGGTACTCTGAGGTGGCTGTGATTTTCATCTCATGCCCCTTGCTGTTTACTTCACTTCTGAAGTGGAGAGAACTCTTCTGTGTCCTCCCAGGGTGACCATGTCCCACTTAGTATTCTTAATGTTGCACCTTCTGGGACAGAATGTAGAGTGGAAGGAAGGGGACAGAGGCCATCTGAATGACTCTATGGCCTATGCTGGGTGACTTCTGGGCCTGGGGGCTGGAGTGGCCTGTGAGGAGACTGTACTGAGTGTGGTGGATTCAACGCCAAGCCACACTTTAATCGTGTCCTCTGGACAAGGGGTGTTTTTTCTTTCCAGTGTCACTGTTCGTGTCATCTCCCCCACTGCTAGCACTCAGTGTCTCATGGGTGGGCCTTGCCATTCTGTAACCCTTCCAAGATGCAAGGTGACCTTTTGAAGTCACCTTCTTACCATCTGAGATCTTCCAGGTCTTTCTCTTTTCCTAGAGGCATGTTTTTAAACCTCTGTGTATGAAGCCATTCCATGCAGTTTTGTAATCCAAGGTGTTTTGTTTATGTGGGGCCTTCCAGGAGCCAAACATTAATGCCAGAGCAAGTTGGCCTAACAGTGAAAAGCATGTGGACCAGGAAGATGCCATTGAGGCCTATCATGGGGTATGCCAGACAAACAGGTAAGGCCTCCCTCTTTGTAAGCTAGACCTGGGACCGGGGGTGGGGGTGGGGGGTCCTGCCCTGGTCCTCAGGCACTGGCCATGTGCTCAGCATTGGGCGGGGGATGGGGGGAGTTATTTGAGGCACTACTAAAGTGGATTCAGAATGTTCTCCCTCTACCTTGTTACCCCAAATGAGATTTCCCCCAAGTTTAGCTGATGAATAACCTCTGGTCCCTCCTGAAGGATGAGCTAACCAAGGCTTATGGCAAAAGGGGTGCATGTTTGTGGGAGCGGAGCTGGGGCTGACAGTACACCAGACAGGCCCCCCAGGAGTGGCCAAGGGCTCCAGAATGTGGGCTCTGGAGTCCCCTTTTCACTTGCTGTGTGACCTCTTGGTGCCTCATCTGTGAATTGTCTCATAGCAGAGTACATCCACTGGGTGTGAGAAGAACTGGTGGGTTAGTCTGCAAAGCACTTAGAACTTGAGTGGCCCTGGAATAAGCATTGTAACCATTGTTACTTGTGCTTTTTTGCCACCCACTTGGGCACCTGTAAAATCAGAGCCAGGTTTTTCCTGGATTGATTTCTCTCACCTCATCTAGTTACCTGTTGAGCTATGGATCACTACATGTTTCTTCAGAATCACTGTGGGCATGACTTGAAGTTCCTTGCAAGATTGTAACAATCACTGAAGACTTAGTGCTTTAACTTCCAGATTTTAAATGGTTTTTTTAAAATACCTTTATTTTTTTCCTAATGTGGTGCTGAGGATCGAACCCAGTGCGTCTCATGTGCCAAATTTGGTAGACAAATGCTCTACCAACTGAGCTATAACCCCAGCCCCTGATTTCCAGATCTTTAAATGCAGCCCCTCTTTCTGCAGATAAGGAAACTGAGGCTCAGAGGGTTAAGTGGTTCGGGCACACAGGTACTCTGTAATTGAATTCAGAAGGTCCAGCTCCTAGACTAGGGCTGCCCAGGTGATCAGAAGGTGAAGGTGCTGTACCAGGCCCCAGGAGAAAAGGAAATGAATTTCGAGAGAGAGGTCATTCTTTTCTGTAAAGGAGGTAGAGGAGAGTGGAGGAGATGCTCTCAGTGCTAAAACTGGAGTCAAAATGCCGTCATTTTTAAATCATCTTGCGGAAGATAAGAAATAGGATGAATGAGAAGCCAGAGCCCAGGTGATACTGAAGGACGAGGACAGCAGCCACGTGCTTGGCGTCTCTTTGCTCTTTGGAACCGACACTGTTATCAGCCCCCTTTTTATCCATCCCCGCATTTGTCAAGGATCCAGTCCCCAGCCTGTGTTCCAGAAGATTAATACCTCAGACTTATCTTCTTTATAGCAATAATGATGGTGATAAAATAAAAATAGCTTATATCTTAAAATAATTCCCTTCCCAGCAAGTCCAGCAGTCATCAGGCAACTTGTAGCCCATGAACCTGAGTTAAACAGAAAAAAGGGGCTGCCTTGGGGGCAGGGGGGAGCCCGAGACCATGTCCCCAAGTGCCTGTCACAGCAGGTGTCATGGAAGTGGCTGTGGTGGGTTCCTCTCTTCCAATTTGGCTTCCTCTTCAGCTTCGCAAAAGCCTTATGATTGCACCAAATCCCAGCACTGAGCTGGAAAGGCCCCCAGCACAGGGTACCAGGGAGGAGGGTGCCCCCTGGGAAGGGCATCCCATTACAACAGGCTACCCAGGAACAGGGTGCTTTGAGGATAGAGATTTGGTTTGCCTTTCCTACAGCTGTCCTCCAATGGAGGGTTTAGAGTGTGCATATAAATTGTATTTGTGTGTGCAGGTAGCAGGGGGGATAGGTCAGGACCCTTTAGAATTTTGTTATCCTGTCCCTAGAAGATTTTTACATTCCTTCACTGAGTTATGCTTTGATTTCTGGAGAGAGTACAGACATCCCTCTACCCTAGTCATGGTTCCTCCGAGAATCCATGCTCTCCACATTCAGAACCTCTTAACTTGTTGACTTTCAAATTTTGTAGAGTTGTGTTTTGGCCTTTACATCTACATCTTTCACCTGGATTTTAGGTCCAGTCAGAGAAGCAGTACTGGGGTCTGCTCTGGCAGGAGGAATTCCATGAATATGGGGAGCTTTTGTTTCATCTTGAAAATTAAGAAACCAGCCTTATTATTACCATTTTATATAAGGGAAAGCTATAGGGAAAGGGGTTGTGAAAACCCAGCAAAGGTGTGGGAAGTGTCTTCTCCAGGCAGTCTCTGGGAGAGTGACGAGGAAGTGGGGTAGGGGAGGGGTTGCTGGTGCTACTCAGACCAGCCCCACCTTTAGGCGGGCACTCAAGGTCACAGAGCTAGCTGGGAACATGAGCTCAGTTCTGGCTCCAAGAAGAGTGCTCATTGACTCCTGACCCCTTCTAGCCAAGCCCTGCCAAGGCTACAGAATTTATTAGTAGACTTTTCCTTGGGTCCCAGGAACCTGCCTTGCAGGCCCCCTCCACTGTCAGGTCCCAGAAAAGAGGAGACATTTAGCATGACCTTTATTACTGCCACATACACCTGGGGTGGTGGTTCTCATACACTCCACCATGGGGTCTGGTCTGTCCAGGACAGTGGAGACCAGGACAGGGGTGTGTGTAGTCTCCTGAAGATTTGCCTGAAGTCAGGGCTCGTTGGCCTTGAGCTCAGCTGCTGCACGATGTCTTGCTTAGAGTGGCAGATGAGGTGGGAAGAGCATGGTTCTGCCAGCCCCTCCCGCAGGCAGCCTCCCTTTAACTGTTCCTGGCCAGGAACCCTGGGCTTCCTTCGAAGACCTTCATGCCCTTCCTCACGGTCTCATTGGTCCTGAGTCAGCAGCACACCTGTGGTTCCCTGTGACTCAGTACACATCCGTAGCTATTGTAGACAGCCCACTTGGGTGGCCGGGCCTGCAGCCCTGGGTGTTTCTCCGTTCTGGGGGGTGGGCTGCTGCCTCCCACTTCTCAGATTTCAGCAAATATCTTGGGCTGCTTAGAGAAAGCATGGTGTGGACTGAAGAAATAAAAGTATCCACCGAGTATTCAGGGGTCTTTGTAGAAACTGAAATCATTTCCGAGCTAGCCGGAACCACGTCTGTTTTCTTCTACGGGAAGCAGGACCTTCGCCATGGCAGAGCAGTGGGTCCATTTTCTTAAGATAGCCACAGAGAGAAAATATTTTCCTATACCTTTTCTGGTGCATGATAGTTAAAGATCTAGAAAAACCCTTTGACATCATTCAGTGAACCACTGTCACCTGATGCATGAAGAAACAGGCCCAGAGAGTACAGGCAAAGAGCCCCAGCACAGCAGGCTCTCCAGCCAGTTTCCTAAACACTATCCCTTACTGCCTCCTGCAGTTGGAAATCGCTCATTGCTTATTTCTCGGTATATGGTGTGTGAGAGGGATATTTATTGACATCAAGAACGCATATTTTAAAAAAAACAATGAGTTTCTGGGCTGTTTGTGTTCTTCCCTATCACACCAACAGGTGGCGCTCCTTCCCTGGCTATGGCCCCTGTGGGTGTGAGGAGTAGGGAGATTTCGGGGATTTGGTTCTCTTTCACATAGTAGCAAAGGGCTCTCTCCGTTTGGTTTGCTGATTTATAATTTTTCTTTGTGCCTGGTTTTCTGAACACTGGTGTCTGGGCTGCAGGGTTCTCTCCTTGTCTTCATCCATGGGGTGTGGCACGTCACAGAATTCAGAACTCTGTCCCTATGAGGCTGGTGATGGGATTAACGCTAACTTCCTTGAGGTATATCTCAGCAGCGCACATGTGCCACCCCAGACAGCAGCTGCCATCATGGGAGTTGCGGAAGTGGAAGGACTGAGACCCAGTACCCCTTCCTACAGTGAGGGCCAGCCAGCATTAGAGCAAAAACTTCAGAGGAAGGCAGGAAGCTCCTGAGACCCCCACCAGGGGTTGGTGTCTTTCTTCATGCTGAAAAGGAGATGGCTGGCATAGAGGGACCCCTGTGTTCGTTCACTTAGCCCTGATGTGTCCCCCTCAGAGCCCCCCAGAATGCCTGTAGTGGGCCCTTGGGTGAAAGCCCTGCTCCCAAGGGCCCTTGCTAAGGGAGGCGATAAAGATCAGCCCTTAGTCAAGCTATTGGTGGGGGCAGAAGTCCTATATAGAAGGGGTCCCCAAGATAACTTTCTTGGTTCTAGTTCTCTTTTCTGTGAAGCGGATAGTGAGGGGTTGACCCAGGGAGTGGAAGCCATAGAGTCCCCAGCAGTTTCCTCACCACTGTTTTTCCTGCCTGTCCTTAGACTGTCAGGGAAGGCCTGGTGCAGATGTAACTAGCTCTGTGCAAGAAGCAGCCCACGTGAGCGCTGCAGGGTCTCCTGAACTCCGGGGTGGGGGGGAGGCTGTAATGTACCTCACAACCTAGCAGGGTTGGGACGGTGACTGACCTGAGTCAAAAACACCTGAGGATGGGTGATTTGCCACCGGGAGTTAGGAAAGGGTTCTGGTCTTTGCATCAGGCAGTGTGGGTGCAGCTTCTCTAGGACACATGGGGTGGAGTCCTGGTGGGGGAAGCAGGTCCCTGCTCATCCTCTGCCACCCAGTCCCACTGGCCTTTGAGGATCTCCACGTGCCCAGGGCCCTGAGTAGTGGGGGCGGGGAGTACATGGGTGAGGAGCATCTGACAGGCCTGCCCTCCAGGAACCACCTTTGCTGCCCTTGGGTGGACTCTGCATGACCTGAGGCAGCAGTAGCTTGCAGGTGGAAGGCAGATGTCTGCTTCCCCTAGATAACAGGAAAATGTACCCATGGTCAAAGCCAAGGGGGGTGGTAGATCCTTTTGTTCTCATCCTGTGAAGTTGATTTAGTTATTCTTCACATAAGCCTCTACAAGGAGAGCTGGAGTTGAAGCTATTTAACACGCTCGCACCCTTAAGGAGTGACAGAAGTGCTTTGAAAAGCAGGCGGGTTTTGCAGTCCCCTGGCCTGCTCGAGGCCAGGGTCTCCTGGTGCTTCACCTGCTGCTCTGCATACCTATCCTCCCTGGCAGCAAGGGCCTGCTCACCACCTGCAGCTACCCAAGCACACACACAGGGCCCTTTCCTTCTGGCCCTGTTTGTGTGTGTCTGTCCCTTTAACTGATTCTGACAGAAGGAAGTGCCATGGGTGCTCGAGGTGGATATGATGCTGGGTCGCTGCTGTTCACAGAGCTGTCAGAACAAGCTCGGCCCTCTGCTCTTTGGCAACATGTTCCCTCCTGTGATTATCAATGGGCCCCACAGGAGAGCACAAGAGTCCCCTTCCCAGCCAGTAACGGAACCTGGGGTACTCAGATGCAGTCTGCAGCCCCCCAAAATGCTGGAGGAAGGGGAGGAGGAGCATGTCGGCTTTGCCTTCTTCCTGTTTTCAAATCTTGGTCACCTCTGGTTCCCGGGATCTCCACCTGCTCCTCTCTCTCTCTCTACACTGGACACCTCTGTTTCTGTCCTTTATTTCTAGCCAGACTGAGGATTGGGGATACTTGAATGAAGATGGAGAACTCGGCTTGGCCTACCAAGGCTTAAAACAAGTTGCCAGGTCAAATGTGCTCCTGTCTTCCTGTGTCTGCTTTGTCCGCCTGCTCATGTCTTTGCTCCTTGTGTTTCAGCCCAATGCGTGTGAGGGCTTGGGGGCACAGTTGGGGTTGCTGCTGGCCAGTAGTCCCTGGGGTTGCCTGCCTATCATTTATGTCCAGGCTGTATGGATGAGGTCAGGGGAGGCTGCTTGTGATAGCACTGGGTGGCCCATCTGAGCCTCAGGAACCACATAGCCCAACCCCCACATTCTACAGGTGGAGACCTAGGAGGTACGTACGTGGCAGCAGGCAGACAGCTGTTAAGAGCAAAGCAGAGAGCCGGGCCTGGTGTGCAGGCCTGTAACCCCAGCTACTAAGGAGGCTGAAGCAGGAGGATCATAAGCTGAAAGATAGCCTGGGCAACTTTTGCTATGTCTCAAACAGCAAAAGAAGGGCTTGGTATATAGCTCTTTGGTAGAGCGTTTGCCTAGCATGTGTGAAGTCCTGGGTTCACTCCCCAGTTTGGGGGGGACAGTTCCCAGTCCCACACTTCTTCCACACTGCTTATTGACCATCCTAACTACAGTGTCAGCCAAAAACATCAGCCTGACTTGTGAGCCAGGTCTTCTAACACAAGGCTCCTCAGGACCTGCCGTCAGCATGTGGCTGTTCCAGGTGTTGGGGCCTCCCTGGAGCTGATGAAGTGCCTTGGAGTTGGTCTCTTCCCTGGCCCTTGTGGGGGAACAAAACTGAAGCTTGGAGGATTATGTAGAAAATTTGCTGGTTTTGCAGAAAATTCAGTTAGTTCCAGGCTGAACTGATACTCATCAGCCTTCAGCAGTGGGTGAATAGTTTAGCCAGCAAGGTTCAGCACTTGGAGAAAGGGCATGACGTGATGGGGTGGTCTGTCACATGCTCCGTGCCAGTGTGGCTTTTAGGGATGTGTGGCATCACATTGTTCATTTGCACCTCCCAACAAGAGATGGGGCAAGGGTCATTAGACTCATTTCCCATTAGAGAAAATGGATGCTCAAAGGTGGTGTGAGTGCCATTCCTGGGTCCCTCAGCAGCCTGATGGCAGAACTGGAGGAAGAGCCCCAAGCCGTCAGCTCCTGCTAGCCTCTCGTGGCCTCTCCCTTCTTTCGCTGATAATGTGGCGGAGCTCTGTCACGGCAGCGAGTCTCCTGACTCTGCAGCCTTTCACTGGGTTCAAGCATGGCCCTGCCTGACCTGTGAGCCTGGTGACAGGTTCTTCACAGGTGGATCATAACATGACCTGCCACACTTGGTCATAAGGAAAATGACTGCAAGTGGATCTCTCTGTGTGTCCTTGGTGTGGAGCAGAAGGAACAGCAGCTGTTGTTATGATGGTTATATTATGCAATATGATCAGATTCCTTCCACTCAGAAGCATGTTGTATTGGAATAGAGACCCATGTGTGAAGCTGGTCATTCCTTGGGCCTCTGTTGGCAGGTCAAATGTGGTGTGACAGATAAGCAGATGAATGTGTTGAAGTAGCCCACAGGCCTGTGTGTCAGGAGTCCTGGCTCGTAGAACCAGCCCGGCCCCTGGCTGTGACCTTGAATCTCTCTCAGCCTTTGGCTTCTCCACACACTTAGGAAGCTAGCTTGATGCTTGGGCAGGAATCCTGTACCCTACACCCTGGGCTGAGTCCACCCTAGTCCACTTGGAGCATAGGGCAGACATGAATGGTGGACACATAGCACAGGTAAGGAAGCACATCCCTTGGCAGCATCCTAGAACCAGGTGTTTCTACTCTCTTGTTAAATCTACAACCTATTAGTGATTAAGTGTATTTTGGCCAATGTTGGATGCTATCTAAGTATTGCATATCACCTAAGGTGTTGATTTTATTACCAAGCTGTCCTCCACTATCCTCACATTGCTGTTTTCTTTTGGCAATAGGCCTGTGGTGCATTCCTCAATCATTTCCTCATTCGTGGTACTTGATTGAGGAGCCACTGGGAGCCAGGTGATCTACCCAGTGCTGCTATAAAGCTGACTCATCTACCTCTGTCAGCAGTGTGATCTTTCCCTCCCTCTTATGCATTTACTGCCTCCCAGACCAGCAGGACTGCAAAAACATGCAACCCGCTCCCTACCTTCGAGGCAGTCAGGGACTCCCACATCTGTCCCCTGGGTTCTGCCTGCTTCCTGAATTGGTGCCTAGCTCTGCTCATTCCAGGCAAAGATTGGGGTGAGTGTTCCCCTGTGTAGGCCATGTCAGGAAGCTTTCCAAAGCCCCTTTCATCCAGCACCCTCTACATATCTTTCACACAAAATCAGCTGCACTGAGTCGGGAAGCTGGTTCAGGTAGTGAAGCCCCAGAAGATGTGCATCCTCACCATGTTGGCACCCAGCTCCTGGGGACAAGGCTGCTGCTGCGCCTCCAGAATCCCTCACTTTCTGTTAGGGTGGAGCAGGTACTGTCCAAGGAGTGCCAGGTAACTGGCCCTGATTGAGCTTTTTAGACTTGGCCTCCGAGCCTTCCCCAACCCTCTCCAGATCTCTGGGTGTGTCTGCTTGTCAGACACTGGCTAATCTTTAACTTCCCCCAGAACACTTGCAGATAGTCTTAGTTTTGTTTTTGGGGTGTGAAGGGTAAATCGTTATAGAAATGTGCACGTGGGGTAGAGTGGAGATAGTAATGGTGAAGATGAATAGGCCAGACTAGCCCCTTGCCTTTCTAAAACTTGTGGGTAGTCTAGGGAAAGTGAGCAAATAATGTAATTACTTTATCAGAGTTTTATCTTAACAAGGGCATTCTTGTGAACTTTAGGGAAGACATAGATGCTGTATTTACTATAAGAAATTTGTGCTGCTGACTTAGATATGGCAGTGTCTCCATCCCAAACTACTCACAGAATGAAATACAGGGTCAGGGAAAAGGGCTAATAAGCCCAGGATGCTTTTTACCTTGGTTTTCTGTCATCGGAGAGGACAGGTCAGCCTGCTTGCCTGCTGGCCTCCGTGGTGTGTGTCTCCCCACTGTGTACATCCCGTTGGGGATGTGCAACCGCTGCTGTGTGCTTGGCTGCTCTCTTGTTGTATTTGTATGTAGCCCCTCACTTGGGGTGCTGCCCTAACCACATGGTCACCTGTCCTTCTCTCCTTGGTGCAGGTTGCTGGAGGCACAGCTGCAGGCCCAGAGCCTGGAGCATGAGGAACAGGTGGAGAACCTCAAAGCCCAGGTGGAGGCCCTGAAGGAGGAGATGGACAAACAGCAGCAGACCTTCTGCCAGACACTGCTGCTATCCCCAGAGGCCCAGGTGGAATTTGGTGTCCAGCAGGAGATATCCCGGTTGACCAACGAGAATCTGGTGAGTAGCCATGCCTCATGGATCATAGCTCTGGGAGTCATGTTCTAGAAAAAAGGATTGGGGTGGCTAGATGGACAAGGTTCACATCCTTAGCCCTGTAGTGGGAACAGATTCTGGAAATCCCTAGTTTGCTGATGGTAGATAAATGAAATAACTGTTTTTCTTGGTTGGGGATGTAATACCAAGAAATAGCAGCCACTGTTGTGTCAATCAGGAATTCTGGCAGAGCTCATTGGGGACAGCTTGCCTCTGCTCCACATGGTGTCAGCTGGAGCCAGAAGATCTAAGACAGCTTCATTCCCATGTCTGGGGCGTCAGTTCTCCTTGTGGTCTCTCGCTCTCTGTGTACTGCTTTACATGGCGACTGGCTTCCCAGGGAATGCAAGCAGCAGCTGTGGGGCCTCTTGAGGCCTTGTCCCAAAACTAGCAGAGCATCACCGCTGTCACCTGCTATGGATCAAGACAAATGATGAGGCTAGGCCAGGTATAGTGAGGGATGGCCCTCGCCACCTGACAGGAGGGGGAGTTGATGGCTCTCCTTGCGGGCAGTCACTGAAGGAGCCCTGGCAGATGTCAGGAAAGTGGAAGAGAGTCCCTGTCCTGCGAGAGCATCATAGGTCAATAGAAGTAAGGTTTCCAGACTGGGCTCTAATGGTGATAGAGCTAGGGCCTTCTGCCTTCCATGCCGAATCAGATGAGGTTAGTGGCAGCACAACCCTTCCACAACAGCTTGCTGTTCTGGGTCCCCGAGGGACTTGCTTCCAGTGGCAACAGTTACTAGGGGTTGGGCCTATAGCTGCTGCCTTGTTTGGCTTCTGGGCCCAGGTAAACTCACTGACCTCCCAGCCAAGTGTCCCAGCACCCCCATTCCTCTACCTCTACCTGTCCATTCCTACCCAGGACACCGTCCACCCATCCCCAGGATGCCCAGGCTGCTGACTCGGCAACCTGAGCAGGCGTGATCTGGGGAGCCCTGGGATTACACAAGGCACCCTTGAGCCAGAACCAGGAGGAATTTGCCCTGTTGTTGCTGAGAATGGAGTCCGACCCATGGCCCGCTTCCTGAGCTCCAGAGCAGGGAACTGTAGCCAGCATGGGGCAGCCTTTCTGGCCAGGGCACTGAGCCAGGGCTCATCAGACAGTACCCACAGCCATCCCTAGGCCACTCTGCTTCCAGCAAGAATAAACCTCTCATCCAGGGCCAGACTCAAGTCGTTCCTCATCCTACTTCCTTCTGCTCTCAGGACCTTAAAGAACTGGTAGAAAAGCTGGAAAAGAATGAGAGGAAGCTCAAAAAGCAACTGAAGATTTACATGAAGAAAGTCCAGGACCTAGAAGGTAGAGTGTGTGTGTGGGGGGGGGGGGGGGGCTAGTGGTGAAGCAGAGGTATGCCTGGCAGTGCGGAGGGATGGACTGCCTGCCCTGTGGCACACTGTGTGTCACCAGTTTCCTAATGACTGTGCTCATGCCAGCCATGCCATGGAAGAATTCAGACCCTGGTTGGGCATGATGGCACATTCCTATAATCCCAGTGACTTGGGAGTTTGAAGCAGGAGGATTGCAAGTTTGCAACCAGACTGGATAACTTAGCAACAGCCTGCCTCAAAAAACAAACAAGGCTGGGGATGTAACTTGGTGGTAGAGCACCCCTAGGTTCAGTCCCCAGTACCACCAGCGGGGGGGGGGGGAACGATAGGTTCACACATTCTCAGTTAGCAGAGTCCAGACCAAAGACATGAATTGAGCAGGTGGCTTTCTTTTTGTGCCCACTCTGAACAAGGCTCTGTGGAACTGGAGGAATGAGATGCTGAGAAGGTGACCTAGTGGTTGGTCCCCGCCTTCAGAGAGCTCTGAGTTGGAGGCAAGACATTCTGGTGTGAAAGTATGTTGTATAACACAAAATCCCAGCCCCAGGGGGCCTCATTCTGTGCCATGGAGTGTCAAGTTCAAATTACCAGTCTGGAGTCTGCCCAGAGAGGATAGGCAGAGATCTCAGTCATGTTCCCAAAGCACTGGGAATGTTCTCTCCTCTCTCTGACCCTGCTGCAAATCTAAGCGTGCACCCTGCTTGGAACTCCCATGGCTTCCCATTGCCTGCATACCTCACTGCAATCTTCCTCCCTCTGCTCAAGAGCCACCAGCCCATCACCATATGATGGCCTGACACAGCCCTAATCACCAGTGGTGTTTTGTTCATTTATTCACCTGTTTACACTCACCAGCTGCTCTACTCCTGGGCTCCAGGAGGCAGAAACATCTGGGGCCCACACCAGGCATATGCAGGCAGGAGCGATCTCTTCCTAGCTGGCGGTCTCTCTCGCACCTGCCAACGTACCCCCTTCATCTTTGAAGTTCTCATTTTCTGTTCCTCAGGTTCTCATTCTTCTAGTTTCTTGGCTTCTAGCCTCTCCCTTTGCTCAATCGTAAAGACCTATCACTCTCTTCAGTGCTTCTCTGTGTCTGCCCTGCTCATTCCCTTATGACCAATCCTTGTCCCCTGCTCCCAGATGACTTCCCAGGCCCTGCTGCTTCTGCTCACGGTGCTGTCTGTCCTCTGTCCCTTCCCTAGGACTTGCAGAGGAAACTTCAGCTCTTGGCGAGTGTGCCTCTCCACCTGGCCCTGTACACACCCAGACCCCCCTGGCAGCACAGAGAGCAACACCCACCCTGGGTGGGCCTTTGCTTCTCTCCCATTTGTCCAGGGACTTGTGTGATGTGGGGTTTGGTGGGTCGATGGACCAGCCCTTCCCCTACTCCTTTGTGAGGTCTTACCGGCTGGAGCCACCATCAGCACACTTCTGGCCTGGCACCTGGCAAGCTGTGTTGAGGGTCTGTTTTAGAGTGAACATACACATATATCTCTTTAGCTAGACTGGCCAAGGACAAGGTTAGAGAACCCATCATATCTAATCCTATACTTAGAACAACGTCCTGCATGCAGTAGGTGTCCATTGTGGGCTTGGGGGTATATCTGTGTGCCCACTGCTCTCCCAAGGAATCAAAATGAGGGAAGGCCTGAATGAAGCAATGAATGAGTCAAAGCCCTTTGTACCCCCAACCACACCACCAGGATTCCTGCAGAATCATTTCCTTATGTAGTTGCATTACTTATGTAGTTGCATGTCACAGGCTCCTGAGCTTGACTCTGCATTGGGGTATTAGTGTCTTTCTGTGTACTCTGGCACATCTGCTCCCCTGTCTATGCCAAAGGCATTGCAGGGTCCTCAGATACTTGTAGTTGCACTGTGGCTGTGTCATGATGGCCATTTTGTGGTCGCACACAAGGAATCCAGCAGGCCTGGCCAGGGTCATGACATCTTCCCAAAAAGATGGTTTCCCCTTATGACTTGATTGCAGAGAAGCAGCAGCTGCCAGCTGGAGGGTAGGACACCTTGCTGCCCACTACCCTGGTCCAAAGCCTGCCCAGCACCCTTTCAAGGGTTTCCCTTTCCCTTGTCCCGCAGCTAGACTGTGGCAGAGGCCACAGGAACAGATCATGTACCATGTGGGCGCTTGGGAACCCTGAACACCCCTCTCCAGACCCAGGTCCAAGCTTCTGTCCACAGGCACAGCTCACTACGGGCCTTCAGCTGCAGGTCCCATTCGTGCTTCCTGTTGTTTCTTTCCCACTCAGCTGCCCAGGCATTGGCCCAGAGTGACAGACGGCACCATGAGCTCACCAGGCAGGTCACAGTCCAGAGGAAAGAGAAGGACTTCCAGGGCATGCTGGAGTACCACAAAGAAGACGAGGCCCTCCTCATCCGGCACCTGGTGACAGGTCAGGACCCACCATGAGACCCCACATGCCAGCCCTCCTCCCCAACTCCCATTTCAAACATAACTCCCCATCCCTGTGTCCCCCACACAACACTGCCCCTCTCCTCCTCCTCACCCTCTGAGTCCAGCTGCTTCTAATCATAACCCATTGCTTTTCCAAATTAAAATCTGACCCCTGTAAATTGCAGCCTACTCTCGGGAAACGGAGGTCTCCATTCTGCCTGTGGTGGGTAGAGATGGGGGAGCTGCCAGCCCACCTCACTTACCCGAGTGCACATTAGCTTCCTCACAGCTTCTGTTTAAGTAGGCACTTTGCTGCTCTCACTTAACTCTGAAGGAAACCTAGGTCATTCTGGTAACTTGCCCAGGTCATACACTGGGTAAATAGTAGATCAAAGGTTTAAGTTCCTGTTGTTTGTGAAAAACTTTGCAGTTTGTAAGTGCTGTGCTTACTTAGGAATGTAGTCTTTGGAGCCACATGGCCTTTATGCAAACTGGGCCTTTCCTAGCCACGTGGCTGAGGTCATGTTCTCAGGTGTCACATGGGGGAGAGGATTGCACCAATAGCACAGAATTGGGAGAATCGATGGTAACGATTTGTTGCTCACAGGATGGTCCCTGAACCAGCAACATCCCCTGAAAAGGTGCTTGAAGTGCAGACTCCCAGGCTCCACTCCAGACCTCCCAAATTAGAATGCACATAGCAAAAAATCCAGGTGGTTCATATACACACTGAAGTCTGAAGAGCGCTGAGTTCATGCAAAGGGCCTAGGATCACTCTGGTCCTTTGTGAAGGTTCCCTGGGCTTGGTCTGTACTGTCCCTGCATTCCTCCTTTCAGGAATCTGGCAAGGTCAAGGCTGGCCTGCCTCGTCCTCAGGACTGAAAGACCTGCCACCCCACCGAAGAGGGCAGAGTTTTCCCCATTAAGTCAGAAAGGGAACTTCTTCCTCTCAGGGTCTCTCTTCTTGGCTGCTTAGGGGGGGGGGGGGGTGTCTGTGTCCTGTTTGCAGGTTGTACAGGTTTGTGCCTGAATAACTCCAGGTGGCTTGGTGGGGGAGCTGCCTTCTGGGCTGAAACACCAGGCTCTTGAAAGCTGCTCTCCTCACCTGCCAAGCCTGCCCAGCTCATAGTCATTAGCTATGAGCTCTCTTCTTTGTGGTACCTTGGTGTCCCCATCTGTAAAATGGAGATGGGGGGCCCCCATCTTCTCATCCCCTCATATGAAGTATAGCAAGGCTAAATGTGACGGTGCAATTGCAAAGCCTTCTCAGGAGTCAGATGGCAGCTTTAGCGAGGTAGTTCAGTTCAAGAAAGAGGAAACCATTATTCTTCAGGAATTCATTGAGCCACCATGCCTGGGGCTGAGGCTACTGGGAGAAGGGAGTGAGACTTGTGCCTAGCACAGACTTTCCTTTCGTGGTTTTTGTTTTTAGTAACCTGCTTATGCCTGGACATTTTGTTTTGTAATGGAGGTTAGTTTGCCCTATAATTGTGACAGATGTGACAAAGGTGACACAAATTCTTGTTAAACATCCTTAAGCACACTGCTTCTATTAGGAATGAACCTTTACTCTTCCATAAATAAACTCAAAACTATACAGTGTCAGAGTTAACTAAGTAAATAAGACTTCTGTTTAAAACAGTGCCAGACAGGTGGCTTGTTCCTGCTGTCATTGCTCAGATGGCTCTAGGCAAGGTCACTTCCTGCTGAGCTGCTTAGGAAAAGTACCCAATCATCAGCCTTCCACAAGACCCCATCTAAATGAATGGATGCCTCAGGAAGGCACTAGCTTGTTTCTCTGAGGAGAAAAGAAAGAGTCAAGGTCCCCACCCACTCAGGATGCTCCCATCCAGTTGGGAGGCCCAAGTAAACTGCTTCATCACAATAGAACATGCCAAGGCTTGTAGTCTGCACATGAGTCAGGCTTGAAAAAAGCTGTGGGTTGAAAGTCTGGGCCTATAAGATATTTTTTTCTGCTGTTATTTGCATTCAAATCAGAGCCAAGGGCCAGTCCACAGCCATCTGCCAAACTTACAAAATGCATGTTAACCATGTATCCAGAGTATTATGCCCTGTAGTTAGAATTAACTAGAAAGATGGATTTGAGAGAATGATGAAACTCGGGAAGCAGCTAGAGATGCTAGCAGCACAGCCCCACCCCAGGCCAGCTCTGGTGGAAAACTTGAGCACATTGCCTCCCTGCATGTCGAGGGGTTGGTGGGCTTGGCTTGGATGGGGTAAGAGTGAAAGCCAGGGTACAGTAAGAGGCTGCAGTGACACTCTCGGGGCCTCAGACTCACATGTTATCACCAGATCTTTCTTCTAACTTCTTTAGATTCTTTATCAGTCACTGTTTTAAGCTTTGGTTTTTATTCTGTTTGCTCGGGAACAAAAAGCACTCTGACAGCTTTCCCCTGGATCTAGCCAGGGGGTGTTAGCAGGAAGTGGGCCAAGGGCTGAGGGAGAGTATCTGGGTAGGTGCGGAGAGACATGAGGCCCGAGGCTGGAGCAGTCCTGCCACAGCAGACCTGCAATGGGGGTGGAGATGGGCAGGGAATATAGAATAGAGCTGCTGGGGGGGAAAAGGCTGGGAGTGGGCAGAGTGGCAGTGGCCTGCTGGGTTATTGGCTAGGAGGTAGCAGGGCAAGAGTTGCCAGGTAATTTATTTCCCAAACGGATGGTCCCATGGGTCAGAGGTTGCTCCAGCCTTCCCAGTCCTTGGCAGATTGGCTGTGTCTTTGGGCACATACAATTTGCCAAATTCTCCCAGGGCCAGCCTTTATATTCAGACTGTCAGAGAACCCAGTGTACCTGTAGTAACAAGTGGGGATGCAGAGGGGTTGGCATTCTCACCTAGTAAGGGAACCAGGTCCTGTCTGCAGCCTGCACCTGGCCACAGGCCCCTTAACTGAAGTCCGTAGCCTCTGTGTAACTCCCGGGCTGTTTTCCTTCATGTTGTAAGAGTGGGGAATTAGGAGCCTGTTTTGTTATAATGCAAACAAGGAAGAATATGGTCTTTATTTTTTAAAATAGTATTGAAAATCTGGTCTATCAGGGTTGAAAGGAATTTGCATAACCTTGGACACTTTCTCTCCTGCCCCTCTCCCAACCTCCCTCCCATGAGAGGCCTTCCTAGCTAAGCTACAAGGAAATATTGCAAACTTTTCTGTTTGAGGCCAGGATTCTCACTGCCAGTGTCCCACTTAGATCTAACTCTTGCTGTCATTGCTGTTAGACCTGAAGCCCCAGATGCTGTCGGGCACAGTGCCCTGCCTCCCCGCATACATCCTCTACATGTGCATCAGACATGCGGACTACACCAATGACGACCTCAAGGTGCACTCCTTGCTCACCTCCACCATCAATGGCATTAAGAAAGTCCTAAAGGTATGTGACCTGAACAGAAAGTCGTGGTTCACAGTGAAATGAGCAAAACCAGCGCCTCCCCATTGCTTCTCTGCCTGGGATCTGAGAAGTGCTTTCTCCCAAGCCTCCAACTGTAGTAACTGGGATGCCCAGCACTCCCCAGAGAAGGGTGCTCAGGCTCAGGAATGGCAGGAAGCCCAGAACTCCAGTGAGAGCCTCCAGGGACACCCAGTGCTTACAGATGGCTTCGCTGCTGCAGCCAAGAACAAGCCGGCCTTACCCCAGAGTGACTTCAGAGGCACATCTGGAGCCCAGGCCACCTTCACCTTCCCTAGGGGCCAGGTGCTTGCTGCTCAGAGCAGTGGAACAGACAAAGCTTCTGACATTTGTCAATTTGCAAGGTGACCCAGCCTGGGTCAGGATGGGGTTACTTACCATGTGTTGAAGCAACTTAAGAATGTCACCTAAATATACAAGGTTCTTCAAAAAAGTGTACTGGTAGCCACTGTGTCGCTAGTCTGCAAGGAGGTGAACCTAGGCAGTAGCAAGGGAGGCTTTTGAGGCCCTTAGATTTCTACCTCAAGAAGGCCTGAGTGAGCCCCAGGTATTGCTGCCCTTAGAGATTATCCTCCATTTTCCTCAACACCAAGAGCACTAAGGCCTTACTAGTTCTGGATTCACTTAGCCTGTGGTCCCTGCTCTGAGATTACCAGCCACCCATTAGCTCTGGCTTCATACCCATGGCTGCAAAGCCTTCCCTGCCAGGCTCCACACTGTGCGTAGTTTTAGCCACTCACAGCTCTAACCATGTCCTATCCACATGCTGATGAGGCTCAATTTTGTCTCTGGCCTTGACCTCTTACAGGCTTCAGCTGGAGTCTTAGGCCAGTCTGGTTCTACCTAGGACTGACTGAAAATGTCCCTCCCTTAGGAAAGCCTTTCCTAATCAAGAACTAAATTAGCCTGCCCCAGCCCCATGGTCACTACATTCAACCTTTGTTTATTGTCATAGCTTACACCTCTCTTCTGTCTGCACTTAGATAATGGCAATGCTTACACCACAGAGCGAGCTCATGAAGGCTCTGGCTTTTGTGCAGGAACTGGGCTGTAGATGTTCATGTAGTTATGAGTTCATTGCCTTTTTTTTGTTTTGTTTTGGAGATGAAACCATTAGACATCCGACCTTAATAACTGGGACACCAGAGCATTTCACCAGCATGCTCCCTCGCATTCTTTGTGTTGAGTAGCTGGTAGTTCACAATCAGGGCCAGTCTGACCCCCCGCCAGGTGGGGTGGATAGACAACAGCCAGGGGCTGCTGGGGCCTGGCCTCATCTGTGCCACTTGGCTTCACATCCTTCAGCTGTAGATGGCAGCATGTTTATTGTATGGGTTCCTGAATGTGCACCATGATCAGGGGGCCAGAAAGGGGTTGGGAATGCCATCCCTGGTAGTGGAGGAGCAATAAGGCAGTCTCTCAGCAGGTCTTCTCCTGTAACTGGCAGGTGCCCTGTCCAGTGTCGGGGCTGCTGGGGAATGCTGGGCAAGAGTGAGAAACATGGGAAGAGAGGCCCAAAGTGAGCATTTCACCCAATGGGAAGTACTTACTCATACCGGGGATGTCCTTTTCACAGAAGCACAATGATGACTTTGAGATGACGTCATTCTGGTTATCCAACACCTGTCGCCTCCTTCATTGTTTGAAGCAGTACAGTGGGGACGAGGTGAGTGGTACCAGAAGGTGTATCCTGCTTTGTCCACTTGGAGTTCTGAGTTGCTCTGGATCGCCTAAAAAGACAGGTATACAGTCTTTGGCACACCTTCTGATGGCAGGTATGCCTTGCCATCCCTGATAACTGAAAGCAGGAGCAGGGGAAGCCATGGGAGACCTGCCTCCAGGAGGCTTCAGTGAGTCCAAGGGCCCCTTTGTCCAGTGAGTAGAATTGGTAGGGAAATGAGTTTGCTAACCCACCCATTGTCAGCCCCTGGGATTCTCCAAGAAACCCCTCGTGGCCTGTCATTTCCAAAGCCGTCCTAGAAGAGCCCGTGTCGGTGAAAGCTGAAAGAAAGCTTAATTGTCTAGTGTGTCAGACTGTCTCCTAAGTCGACTGATAAGTTCGTCCATTTTAGGATAAAGATGTCCCTAAAAAATGCGGCACCCAGTCATCAGAACTACATTTATACAAACTGACCTTGAGGCCCAGCTTCATGCTCCCAACCCAGTTGGATTCCTTGGCCAGAGGCCCAGTTGTCACTATCATTTTATGTTCCACCCTGGACCTCTGCGACCCAGCTTTATCTAGAACTTGCCATCCCCAACTCGAGCATCTCTCTCAAGCTGCACGGTCAGCCCTTCTAACATAAGGCGCACTTTCCTCAGTCTCTCCAGTGCCAGCCCTGCCCGCTCTCAGATCCTCACAGGTCTGCCCCACTTTTCTCTTTCTCCCCTTTCTTTCACGTATCTCACCATGCGCCCGTCCCAAGGTCAAGATGTAGCCTAATGAAAACAATGCAACTGTTATGGCGGCTGTTTCATGTGCTTTAATTGAGTTTTGAACCCTGTAGCACTTGTCCAATGAGCTACATCCCCAGTTCTTTTTTTTTTTTTTTTTTTTTTTTTTTTTTTTTTTTTTTTTTTTTGAGATGATGTCTTGCTTAGTTGCTGATCCTTCTGCCTTGGCCTCCCTAGTCACTGGGATTATAGGCACCTGGCCCAGTAGGACACTTTAAAGCTTTGTTCCATCTTTTGTAACAGATCAAATTTTGGTACACTTCTCTCTCTCTCTGGGGAAATAAAATCTGTGCCATTGCAGTCAGTCTTGACTTTGGAATGTGGCTGGACTGTACTCCCCTCCTAAGCATCACACCTTCAGTTTGATCACCTGCTTTTATTAGGAAGGGAGTGAGTTAAAGGTGGGAGAAACGGCCTTCATTTCAGACAGATGCCTTCTGTTATGTAACCATGATATCCACAAGCTCTTACTGTGAGTGTGGGATGCCATTTAATATTATTTTATTAAGGATCATCACTTCACCCAAACTTACATGTGTTCTGAGTGGAACATTATGTAAAGCCAGGGACTGTCATGGCGGCTGTTTCATGTGCTCTGTGTTCTCGGGGACAAGACTGGAACCACATAATAACCAGGTCTTTGTGGTCTAAGTAATGAGAAGGAGTGAAAGACCGCCTAAGTCATCGCATCAGTCTCTCTCCTACCTGCTTTTTTTCCTATATATAAAAAAAAAACTGCTGTGTAACTTGGCACAGCACAAGAAGCTTCACTGGGGATTGTCACCCTTTTGAAAGCATACATCTTTTTACCTGCTGTTGGTTTCCCTTGACCTGAATAAAAAAGAATATTGGTCACAGGAGTGCCTTTTATATAAGCAATTCTTTGAGCTTCCATGTTATTTTTTCCTGTTAATTCAGAAAGCTAAGGGGACACAGTGATGTTGTGGTAGAATCATTTCAGTGCATCTGTTAATTCTGATGCCCAGTGATAGAGTCCATATAAAATGTCTCTTTATACAGACACACAATCTACTCTGTTTTAGGCTAACCTGGATGGGGATAGCGCTAGACAAAGTAAGAAATCATGGGTCCCTCTTTGCTTGAGCTGGTGCCAATCAGGCTTTGATGCCTTGGGGCACTTTAGGGATTTAGACTAAATTACTTAAGCCTTTTTAATTACAGTGTGGCTTCTCTGTCATTTTGAGTATTTTCCCTACCTTTTAGTTCAAGGGCCACCATTGAAGCCTGATGGGGAGGTCCTGGGTGGGTAGGGTCCCCACAAATACATTGCTAAAGAAACCAGAGGCTCAGAAGTTGTACTGAGGCCAAGAGACTGCAGAATCTCAGTAATACCGACCTCTCATCTTCAGGGCTTCATGACTCAGAATACCGCGAAGCAGAATGAACATTGTCTTAAGAACTTTGACCTCACTGAATACCGTCAGGTGCTGAGCGACCTTTCCATTCAGATCTACCAGCAGCTCATTAAAATCGCTGAGGGCTTGTTGCAGCCAATGATAGGTAAGTTGGCACAGGAGGGTTCTAGCCCTCATTCCGGGCTCTGGAAGTCTCCCATCTTCAGGGAGCCCAATGTGTTAGCCAGGGCCTTCCCAGAGAAGGCCTACGGAGCTGTGCACGTTGTGCCTGAGACCTGTGAAATTTTCAATGCCGTCTCATCCAAATATGCTAGCATAATGGAATGATTTTTTCCTCTCCTGTAGTATGTTGTATTATTTTTCCTCAAGAAATTTCAATAGGTAATAAATATGAACTCAAAAGCATAAATGCACATACAGTAAAATAGTATCCTCTTGTTCATTTTGTGTTTTTCATGAAGAAAGGAAAGCCTTGTGTGTGTTCACAGGCAAGAACACAGCAGTAAAATCTCGGGCAATAATATTTGCTGAACACTCACTTTGTTCAAAGCAGTGAGTGTACTTGGCACTGAACATGAAATCAGAATTGGAAAAATAAGAGCAGCTATGTTTTAGGTTAAAAGAAAGGAAACCCATGTACAGCACTCACTGCTGCATGAAGGCTGGGGAGGAACGTGAACCTGGGCAGGTGTGTAATACTTTCTCCGGGTTCTTATAACACTAGTAGGTTTGGGGTGAATTCCAAGTAGGACCAATCTATAAGTATGTCCCTTGGGATAAGATTTATTCCAAATCTTTCTTCTTGTCATCTTCTAAGGCACAGAGAAACTGGAGTTACTACAGCATGTGGAATGATGGGAGGGTTGGTAGCACTGCTTTCGAAGTCAGTCAGTTTGGGTTCAAATCCTGGCCCTGAGTTCCTAGCCACATGACTATAAGCAAGTTATTTAAACTCTTTATGCCTGTTTCCTATCAGTGAAATGGGTACCTCATAGGTTGTTGGGTGATTAAAAGAGGGTACTGGTCATAAAGCACCATGGTTAAGAGTGTCTCAGTAACTAACCTAATGTTGATGTAGTGGCTAGGCCAGGACTGCACTCAAATTGTTCAGTTCTCATCTTGGACTTGGCGCAGGCAGTAGAGAATCAAGCTAGTGCATGTGTATCATCTTTATTCCATCAATAAATTTAAGCAAAAATTTGGTCTTTAGATATTTTATTCCACACAGAGATCAACACATTAGAAATGCCTTGCCAAAAGTTGTAAGTTCCTGATAATGTCAACGTTGTGTACCTCTGGATGGGATCACTGCGAAAACAGTGAGTGCTGTTGAGCAGTCCAGCATCAGAGCTTGTTTGTGAGGATCTGCAAGCTTCTCTAACCATGTTTTTCTTTCAGTTTCTGCCATGTTAGAAAATGAGAGCATTCAGGGTCTATCTGGTGTGAAGCCAATGGGCTACCGGAAGCGCTCCTCCAGCATGGCAGACGGGGATAACTCATACTGCCTGGAAGCCATCATCCGCCAGATGAATTGCTTTCACACAGTCATGTGTGACCAGGGCCTGGACCCTGAGATCATCCTGCAGGTGTTCAAACAGCTCTTCTACATGATCACCGCAGTGACTCTTAACAACCTGCTCCTACGGAAGGACGTCTGCTCGTGGAGCACAGGCATGCAACTCAGGTGAGAGAGGCTCTCGTCCAACAAAGGGAGAGAATGGACTCCCGACACTAGCTGGAAGCAGAGCATAATGTGCTTGCCTCTAAAAATGAAGTCCTGATCTGATAGTGCTTGTCACAGCATATGATTCAAACTCAGGTTCTTTTTATTGGTTGAGGAAATTCATTACCACCAAGGTGGTAAACATTAAAGCTTAAGGACTTTTGTATAGTTGAAGACTAGATACAATGTGGCCAGGTAAGAGAAATCAGTGAGTTAGGAGGCATGAAGGCTTACAAAGACTACAAATATGCTTGTGAATGTTAAATATACATTGTTTCAATTCAATATATCTAATGCCTTCTCCTCCATTGCTTTATAAAAATTTATTTCAGTATTTCTTCTTTGGTGGCTTCTTAGTCCCCTTCATTCTTTGATTCGTTTGTTCTTCATTAAACAAACAGCTACCTTTCCAGCTTGTAACCTGTGAGGTAGTTGAGGTGAGGACGATGACACTGGTGGCAGCTATCCTCAAAACACAGGGGTGCCTTCAATCAATGAATTGGGGCTTAACCACTCACTTTTTACCTGTGGCTAAGGTATAATATAAGTGAGCTTGAAGAGTGGCTTCGGGGAAGGAACCTTCACCAGAGCGGAGCAGCTCAGACCATGGAACCTCTGATCCAAGCAGCCCAGCTCCTGCAGTTAAAGAAGAAAACCCACGAGGACGCGGAGGCCATCTGTTCTCTGTGTACCTCCCTCAGCACCCAGCAGGTAGGGTTATTCTAGCCCTCTGTCAACCCCGGTGCTTAGGGCAAGTCCCGCTTCTCAATCTGTTCTTGCCGCTGTGGGGGTGGGTATGTGTGTTTAGTGGTGTACCCCCTGCCTTAATGTAGCCAGACACCACTTTGGTCTGTGAAACAAGATGCCACAGCTGCTGTTTCCTGTAACAGCAGCTGGTTCTTCTTGCTCACTTAGAAAACGAGGTAGTAACCAGGCACATAGTGCACATCAGTAATCACAGCAGTTTGGGAAGATGACACAGAAGGATCACAAGTCTGAGAACAGCTGCAGCAATTTAGCAAGGCCCTATCTCAAAAACTAAAAAGCACTGGTGATGAAACTCAGTGGTAAAGTGGCTCTGTTCAATCCCCAGTCCAAAAAAAAAAAAAAGAAGAAAACAAGGTCTCTCCCTGCTGCAATCCCATCTGTACTGTGAATTGAACCCACTGGCCTTGCATACGCTATACAAGCACTCTGCCACTGAGCTATGCCCCAACACTTTTTAATTTTGAGAAGGAGTATGGCTAAGTTGCCCCAGTTGGACTTGAACTTGGAATCCTCCCTGATCCTCTGGAGTAGTTGGGATCACAGATATGTGTCATTGCACCTAGACACTACTTGTTTTAAATAATGAGTTCTGAATTGTTTCTTATGTAGAAATTTTAAATTTTTCTGAACTTTTCAGCATCAAGCATCTACTCTTTCCAATTATTTCAATATGATTATGTTTTCCCTTAAGACTCCATTTATATTGGTTTAAATGAAAGTCATTAAGAATCAAGAAGTATTTAAATGTCACTTTCCTTTTTCCCCCCTTCCAAAATTGTATTTATATTGCAACTCAGTTGCAGACATACCACCTGTCTAAAAAAGACAGATCCACAGACAGCCAGACCTTGCCCTCTGTCCTGGGTATGCCTACTGGAAATGGCTACAGAGACTGGCACAAAGAAATTAGACTTTCTAAATCAAGTGCATCCCCTCCCCACAACCAACATCTAAAACAGCAAGCTCCAAACTTTGCGTTACAAAGTAAACACACCTCTCCTTACCTCCTACACTAACTACTAATAAATGAATTATTGAACTCTTAAGAACATTGTTTCCTTCTGCAAATGTACTAAAAGTTTTCCAATGTTGCCCTCTTTTAATTGTACTTTTCTTTCACAAGAACTTCTAGATTGCAGCTGGCTTTACAGCTGGGTGGGCTACTTCCACCAATCAGTAAGCAAACCAAAGATTATCTCTCTTTCAAATAAGCATAAAATCTCTTTTATACATGAATTTTTGCATTTCATTTTTCATGGGGGAGGGAGGTAGAAGGGGATTTGGGTGCCTAAACGAGGCATCTAAGGTAAGACTCCTACTATTCTTTGGAAGAAATCTTGTCCTTACTGGTAGATAAGAAGCTGAGGATTTCAGGCAACAGATTTCCGAATTCCTCATTGTCTATAAGCAACCAAGCACAGGGACGGGGTTGATGGGAATGTGGGGAATGTGGATGAGGGAAAAGTCTCAGATCTCCCAAGTGAGCCCTGAGTGTGGATTCCTACTGTAAATGTCAGTCCAGCTCCTTCCATGTTATAAGTCCTGTCTAAAGATCATGATCTTACACCAGTGTCATCTGGTCTTTAAGGTTGTCTTCTGTTCATGTAGCTCTGTGTTAATAAACTTTTGTTTTCATTCCAACAGATCGTCAAAATTTTAAACCTTTATACACCCCTGAATGAATTTGAAGAGCGAGTAACAGTGTCCTTTATACGAACAATCCAAGTAAGTTTTAAAATACTAATCAATTCTGTAAAGTTCTCATCTAAAACTGTAAAAAGAAGTGAACTTTTATGGTTTAAAAAAAAATAGTTATAGATGAATACCACACCTTTGTTTATTTTTATGTGGTTCTGAGAATCGAACTCAGTGCCTCACATGTGCTAGGTAAGGGCTCTACCACTGAGCTACAACCCCAGCCCTGAACTTTTAGGTTTTAACCTTTATTAATAAACTACTAGAAGACCTCCCATTCCTAGGTGTTTAAATAAACATGAACCCTAACACCTGTGAATAACTTGTTAACTATATACACACAAGATTGAACTGTTAGTCTCTGCCACTCAGATCTTAGACTGAATCTAAGTATTTTGTTTCCCAGTAACACATCACTAAGGCACCAAATGGAATTTTCAGAGAGCAAAATATCAACTCTACTCACAAATGGAGCTAAGAAACATTCTTAAGACTTAAGAGTTTAAATGGTGTCTTTATCTCTAAGACTCATAATATTTGCCCTTAAAGAATCTGCTTGGAAAAAAATATTTTAGGCAAATGATTTTTGAAATCTGCCCTGGCTTGCTTGAGTTAAGCCCCTGGTAATCTTGACTGAGCACCTGGCCTGTGTGTGTGGTGGTGACTGACAGCACAGGGATCACTCAGAACCACAGGGCATGTTTCTCCCATGATTGCACATAGGGAAGACCTTGGAGACCCCTTAGCGAGTAAAGTGATGCCAACATGAAAAAAGGATTTAAAAAAAAAAAAGGCAGTAGGGAAATTGATCAGAGGAGGAATCGGGGAGGAAGTTGAAGAACCTTGAGAAAGCGTAGGCTTTTTGTAGAAGAAGCTTTCCTCTGAAACACTCAGGATTTTATTCAGAGCCTCTTCTATGTTTCATTGTAGAGATCCGGAGATTTAGAAAGATCACCTTGTGTCTGAAAAGTTTTGTGGCAAAGAATACATGAACTTTAGCCGGGTGTCTAAGTAGAGGATAGAGGCCAAAGGTCAAGGAAGTGATGCCGAGTCAGACTGAAGGTTGGCTGTTTTCTTACGGGCAACGGAGAAATCACAGGATTATTAAAGATACAGCCTACAGAGGAAAACAGGCCCTCGTGCCAACGCATGCCATGCCAGGGCAGGGGAGGTGCCAATGGAAAGGATCCAGTTAGGGTAGCATATAGCCAGCTGCAGAAAGGGGAGCCAGAGTCCGATGACAGAAGGAAGCCTGAGATCCCAGCCCTCACTGCTGGTTTTTATGGAGGGGTGGTAAATGACCCAAGCAAAAGTACAAGTTTAGAAAGTCTCCCTTGTACATCTGAGATACACAGACCAGCAGAAGAAGTATAACTGTTTATAACTGATTATAAACTGGCAATAGCACTGTTTACAAGAAGGGAATTCAGGCCAAAGGTCAAAGAATATATGGTAAGTCAGACTGCAGGTTTAATGAATAAAGGACATAGAAAACATGTCATGGAGGTCAAGTGTCTGTAAATATGACTAAATACACTGACCAGCAGATCCTGCATCTTACTCAGGATTTTTATCCAAAAAAAATTTTTTTTTGCCAGCTCTAGTTTTATGCTTTGCTTCTACCTATAAGTGTTCAGAGGAAACAGTCCCACACTTGAACTATTTACCATAAGTTCAAGTTCTTTATTAAAGCTATTGGTTGAGTGCTAAATGCAGAATGTACTGACCTTTAAAAACAATTTGAATGTATAAATGTACTGAAACATCACGTGCTACCGCACAAACACATACAACGTTTACGTGTCAGTTAAAGTAATTTAAAATTTTTTAATTTAAATTTGAGAGGGATGTTAAACTCACCAAAGGATCTACAAGAGGATTTCATGAGCAGATTTGCCTTGAGAATTTTTTTTTAAAGAGAGAGAGAATCTTAATATTTATTTTTTAGTTTTCGGTGGACACAACATCTTTGTTTGTATGTGGTGCTGAGGATCGAACCTGGGCCGCACGCATGCCAGGCGAGCACACTACCACTTGAGCCACATCCCCAGCCCAAGAGAATTTTAATTAATTAAATGTATACATGCTCTTTGCAGTTAAATTATAATATATGAAATAATTAACTTTTGTCTCATTTTAAATTCTAAATGCTTAACAATTTTTCAAGTCCTTTAAATAGTAAGGACTATTGATATATTTCTAATAGAGAAATAAGATGAGCATAAAGACTGTAAGAATTATTATTTTTCAAAGCTTCCTGCCACATTTTCACATGCTGTGTGATAGGTTTGTAATAATGGATGCAGCAGAGCTCAGAGTGGGCTGAGTGTGAGAAACCGCTGATCCCAGGAGAGATCAGTCTGCCAGGCCCCACCAGAGCTATCATTTATGAACTTGAATCAGGCTTGTAGCTCATTCCTCCCTGAATATCCTTCTCTCTTAAACTTCTTATTTCCAACTGTTTTTTCAAACTGTTAAAATTGCCTTAAAATTTTAGCCCATTTTTTAAGATGCCAGACGCCTTGGTATTTTGTGATTGAGACCTGGGGACATCAGGAGCACTTTCCATTCACACTCTCCAGGCAACTGAAAACGATGTAATCAATTGAGGTGCTGCTGCCACTGTTTAGCCATCTCACAATCCTATGTCAAACTGGTTTTCTTCTGCAAGCCAGTTTCCCAGTACCTTCCAAATGTGCCCTCATATTTACTGACCTCGGCCCCTGTTTCAAGGCTTAAGAAAAATAGAGGTGCTGTTAGAGTGAGGCCAGCTGGAACACCCAACTTCTGGAGGAGTTGAGCAGATGAGTGCTCATCGTCTTCCCACTGCTAAAAATTGAGAAATGATGAAATCTCCAGAAAGTCACAGCATATCAAAATGTTGTCACTATTTGAAGCAATAAAGTTGCCTTGTCTCAAAGAGGAAAAAACACTTCATATCTCAAGCTAGTGTGGAATGACCTGTGTTTTCACAAAATCAAGATGATGGATTTTCCTCTTAGCAATACTTCCACAGTTGAGTGGCCTTTGCAAGAGCTCAGCTCCTCCCTGCAGTCTGAGGTTCTGAGGTTGGTTGTGAATGCACAGGCAAGTACAGGGAGGTGTGTCCAGTTAATAACAAGCGGCACTTACCACGAGCTAGCAGCTGCACCCAGCATTTTACATGCGTTCACGCTTGATCTTCATAGTCTTATGAGAAGGGTGCTCTCCCCATCCCTCCACCTTTTGTTTCTGTTTTTTGTTATGTTTTAGCTTTGTGTCGCTGTGACAAAATGCTGGAAGTAATTATCTTAGGAGGAAAGATTTATTTTGACTCAGTGTCCAGAGGTTCCATCCCTGGACACTTGGCCCTATTCTTTAGGCCATAGTACATCATAACAGGAACATGTGACAGGCCTATTTGCATCATGGAGGCCAGGAAGCAAAAGACACAGGAAGGGGCTAGTGTTCCAAATATCCCCTCCGAGACATGTCCCTGAAGACCTGACTTCCTCCCAATGGGCCCTGCCTCCTGGAGATGCCACCACCCTCAACAGTACCAAGGCTGGGGGCCAGCCCTTTAATGCATGTGCTTGTGGATGACATTCCAGATCCAAATTATGGCAATGTTGTACCATTTTAATCATTTCTACATGTACAATTTGGTGGCAGTAAGTACATTGACAATGTTAGGGAACCATCAACACTATTTGCAGAATCAGTCCATCATCCTGAATAGGAATACCCATTTGAGCAGTGACATCTATTCATCTATTTCCCTTCCCCCAGCCTCTGGGAACCTCTCTTCTCTCTGAATTTGTCTAGTCTAGATGTTTCATTAAGGAGACACGTAATTTGTCCTTTTGTATCTGGTTTTTTAATAACGTTTTCACGACTTTGGTATCAGATCATTACTGGCTTCATAAAATGAGTTAGGAAGTGCTGCTTTTGTCTTCCAAAACAATTTTTCTTTTGGAAAAATTTGAGAGGAATTAGCATTAATTCTTTAAATGTTTGGTAGAATAACCATTGAAGCTCTCTGAACCTGGCCTTTTCTTGTTGAGAGGCATTTCATTACTAATTCAATCTTCTTGTTTTATACATATTCAGATTTTCTATTTTAAAAAAAATTTAGTTATATATGGATAGAAAGCCTTTATTTTATTTTATGTGGTGCTAAGAATCGAGCCCAGTGCCTCACACGTGATAGGCAAGTGCTCTGCCACTGAGCTACAGGTCCAGCCCTTGAGTGAGTTTTGATAGTTTGTGCTACCAGGATTTTATCCATTTCATCTAGATTATCCAATTTGTTAGTATAAAACTGATTTTAGCATTCTCTTAACCCTTTTTATTTCTGTAAATTTGATAGTAACATCCTCACATCTGTTTCTGATTTTGGTTAATTCTGAATTCACTCTTTTTTTCTTAGTTTAGCTGAAGACTTATCAATTTTATTGAACCAACTTTTATTTAATTTTTTGTTATATTCTATTCTCCATTTATCTCCATTGTAATTTTTATTTCCTTTGTGTTGCCTGTCTTGAGTTTAGTTTGCTCTTCTTTTTCAGTTATAATTTACATGAACCATGAGCTATTTGAGATTGTTAATTTCAACATCTTGGTGGATTTTCCAGTTTCCCTTTATTTCTAGTCTTATTCCATTGTAACCAGAAATGGTTATATGACTTCAGTCTGAAGTTTAATAAGATTGTTTTGTATAATCTATGGTCTGTCCTGGAGAATGTTCCACCTACATCAAGAATGTGTTTCTGGGTCTGGGGTTGTGGCTCAGTGGTAGAGCACTTGTGTCCATCTACAACTAAAAATATTACCCCAAAAAGGTTTCTGTTCTTGAGTGTTCTGTATGTGTGTTAGGTCTGAAGGGCTTGTCATGTCATTCATGGTCCTCTATCAATTTTCAGTTTTATTCCATCTGTTATTGAAAGTGAGGTGTTGAAGTGTCCAGCAAGCATTGGAGAACCATTTCTTCCTGCAGTTCTGTCAGTTTTGGGTTCATATAATTTAGGGCTTTGTTGCTAGGTATATATGTGCTTATAATTGTTCTTGATGGATTGAACCTTTTTCTGATATATAATGTCCTTCCTTGTCTCTAGAAACAACTTAATTCCAGGTGTGGTGGCACAGCCTGTAATCCCAGCAACTCAGAAGGCTGAAGGGAGGCCAACTTTGACAACTTGGCCGGACCCTGTCTCAAAAAATAAAAGACCTAAAAAAATAAATAAATAGCTGGGAATGTAGCTCAGTAGTAGAGCATCCCTGGGTTCAATCTCCAGTTCCAAGAGAGGGGAAAGGAAGAAAAGAGAAAATAATGTCTGCTTCATTCTTGAAGGACACTTGTATCAGATATAAAATTCTCAGCTGACGTGTTTTTCCTTCAGACATTTTCACCCCACTGTCTCCTAACCTCCATGGCCTCTGATCTTATTTTGAGGATACCTTCTGACAAGTTATTTCCCTTGCTGTCAAGATTCCTTGTCTTTGGGTTTTGACAATTTGTAATATTTCTCACTATATATCTCTTTGAGTTTATTCAAGGTGGGATTCAAGTTTCTTGATTGTGGCATAAATATGTCTTTCATCAGATTCAGGATGTTTTGGGGCATTATTCAAATATTTTTCTGCCCTCTTTTCTCTCTTTCCTGGGACTTCTAAAATATGTATGCTGGTATATTGGTACCTGGTTGCTCAGGTTCTATTCATTTTAACTCATTATTTTTTCTTCCTCTTAGACTGGATTGTTTCAGGTGTCTGTCTTCAAGTTTATTGACCCTTTCTTCAGCCTACTTAAGTCCACTGTTGAAAGCCTCTGTGAATTTTTCATGTCAATTATACTTTTCTTAAAATGTCTGGCTTCAAATAGGAGGAAAAGCGAAGAGGATCTGACCTTTTAAATACTCCATTTGATACTGCCAGGTCATTGATAGCAAAAATGATAGTGATTTTAGCCACTGCATCCCAAGAGATGCCTGAACTGGGCCAGGTGTGGTGGTGCACACCTGTAATCCCAGCAGCTCAGGAGGCTGAGGCAGGAGGATTGCTAGTTCAAAGCCAGACTCAGCAACTTAGCAAGGCCCTATGCAACTGTGAGACTCTGTCTCAAATTTTTACAAGGGCTGGCAAGGTGGCTCGGTGGTTCAGCACCCCTGGGTTCAATCCCAAGTACCAAAAGAAGTGGGGGATGGGGGGAAGGCCTTAAACCAAGGCAGGCTTCTGTCTGGGATGCCCCCAGACCAACCAAAGTGCACAGAATCTCAAATTTTTGGAGGACCAGGTCCCATTGCTTTTCCTGGAACCAAGCAGCTCTAGAAATACAGTTGTCTGTCCCCACAGCTGCCCTGGGGCTGAGGAATGGGGCATGGTAGCCAGTTCCACACGCTGCTCACAGCAAAGATCGGCCTCTCCTTCAGTCAGACCCTCTCCCAGTTAAAATAAGTGTCCAGGCAGGTTCCAGAGTTGTGAAATAGCTGATAACAACCACTCCTTCCAACTGCATAGTTGCCCTAGTGGAGGGACCAAACCCTAGACTTCCTCTTTTGCCAGTTTATGTCCTGTTGTTCTTCCCTGTTCCAGGAAACTGGAAGAGAAAGGTTCATAAATTTGCCCAGGGTGGTACAAGTGCTCAAGATGTCTGCTTCTAGAACCTATGCCTGCCACCACTTTACTCCAGTGCCTCTGTACATGATTTGTACCTGAGATCTATCTTTACCTGCTCCTCCTTTTTTCTTTTAATTAAGCTTTCTCCCTTCTAGAGAATTATCTGATTGACAGGCTTAAACCAGAGCTTCTCCCTGCACCACTCAATATCTTGGGTACAGGGAGACCGCATTCTCCTGGTCCTGACAGCTTTATTAATAAGCGCAGAAATATTCCCATGCTATATACCAGCTTGCTTTTGTGAATCCACTTAAATTGGCTATTTCAAATGTAGTGAGTTTTTATGTGGCCTTGTTCTTCCCCGTAGGCACAACTACAAGAGCGGAATGACCCTCAGCAACTGTTGTTAGACTCCAAACACATGTTTCCTGTTTTGTTTCCATTTAATCCATCTTCCCTGACGATGGACTCAATCCACATCCCCGCGTGTCTCAGCCTGGAGTTCCTCAATGAAGTCTGAAGATGTGCGTTTCCCACATCAGCTTGCTTCCCAGTGAGAGCAAGAAGGAAACATGTGCAGTGAAGTGACCCTGCGCATCTGTGGAATCTGGTAAAAATGGATCAAATCAGCGATGGAGAGCCTGTGGAAAGTTCGAACTAAGACACACCTCTCTCATTATTTTGGGTACATACTGCTCAGAATAAAAACACCTGAAATAAGAAAGTTTTTTTTTTTAAAGGTTTGATTTCAGTCTTAAAAAAAAACCAAAAAAAAACACAAACACACACACAATAATCTACAACCACCAAGCAGTCCCTGTGGCCATCTAAAAGGTACCTGTTCTATAAAGTGGAAGTGGCCCAGCTCTGATCTTTGTTAACTGAAGAATGTCTAAATTAAGATATTAAAAATATATAACAAATTTCCTGCAGAGGACTTACCCTTATTTGTAACCCTGAAAATGGCATCTACTGACATCCTGAGGTTGACAAACCACAGGAGTGGGTGAGCTTGTGGTGAGATGTTTTGAAAACAAAAATAATGGGCCTGGGCCTCTGAGAAGCTGTGAATCAGACAGTAGTACAAGTGACCTCCAGATAAAGTATTTTGCATATTAGTTTCTGAAGCAAAATTAATAGACCCAGTCTCTAATATGCTCAGGGCCTTTGGGTAGTCCTGGGTTTTTAAAGAGTTAGGCTGAAAATGCTACTGTCCCAGGTATCAAATGTGAGAAAGATGGAAAAATATTAAGATGCTAGTCTGCACTCACCAACAAAACTTCCACCACAAAAAAAATGTATATAAGCTAACTATTAGAGAATAACAATTCTTGCTTTATTAACAGATGTAAAAAGTCAGTGTGAAAACTTAATCTCATAATGCCATAAACCTCCAATAAGAACATCATATAATTTGCTACTAATCCCAGACACCCAAGAAAGGAAGGAAAATAGACTGCAGTTTGAGAACTCTGAGAACTTTAAGAAATAATACATGATCATTAAGTTATTTTCCAAAGACTTGTGGTTTTTGTCTTGTTGGGATTTGGGGTTGCTTTGGTTTTGTTTTTTGAAAGAATAACATGGCTTAAGCCAACTTCTTAAGCCTATTTTCAACATTTTTCATATTTACCACACAAAAATCATTGTAAATATCTCTGCTGTGAAATAAAGATTTAGCAAGAGTATTCAGTAGTATCACATAATAGATTTAAAGTCCGCTGTTAGGATTTTTTGTTTTGTTTTTGAGGGTTTGGGGTTCTTTGGGACTCTCCAAAAGATTTCTCTACATGTTGGAAGTAGAACACCCTCCACCCCATCTTGTACTCAGCCACCCAACTTAGAAGGCTCTTGGGAGCACAGCACACCCTCAGCACAAAACGGTCCTCTGTCCTGTGCTGGTGGAACTCTGTGTCCTGTCTTCCTCCTCATCTGGGGCAAGAACAAGGCACAGGGCCTGGTGAAAGCTGCTAACAGTTGTGTTCAAAGGCACTGTCATCAGTCAGCATCTTCGCCTCTGTCCACATTAAACATCCTGGGGCCCCTTAGATATCTGCAGGGTGGTGCCTTCCCTCCTTAGTTTGAGTTTCATAGTCACTGACATCCCTGTGACACACCTTTCAACCTACAGGCTGACTTTGGAAAACCAATCTAAAGCAACTGGGATTGTGGCTACCTCTGCTTTAAAGTCTTGTGAAATACGATATGCTTTCTAATGCACTTTAGTTTGAAATTAAGTCTCATGTAAAGACTGTTCCTGACCTTCAAGATAACCCAAAATGCCTTGATATTAGCAATACACAATTTTAACAAGCAGTGATTCCACAAACACAAAGGCTTACTGTCCTTACACCATTATCCCTCCACTCTCTGGGTTGCTACTCTGCTGTCACTGGTTCATCACTAGAGGCCAAGGGCTCACTGAATAAAAGTGTGGCGGTTAGAATACATGGGGTAGAGGGAAGTTTATGAATTGTCCTCTTGGCCTCTTCCAAAAGACAAGGGCATTGGGTTGGAATTCTAATTTACAGATGACTGACAAATACAGTATTGATTGCATAATGTTTAGATCTGCCCAATTTAACATCATATTTGGAGGCTGAAAGAAGCATCTTTAGGTGAACTTGAACCTTTTGTTGGCTTTTTATCCCCAAGTATAAAGTCAATACACCTCAAACACGTCCCAACTTCATGAAATTGGATGACTTAATTTAAATAATTCAACTTGAAGGTTTAAATTCGCCAAATATCTCTGCTTTCCATTGTTTAAAATTTGACAACTTTTCTCCGTGCCTTTAACAGTTACTGAGATAACTGATTTATCAATTGTTTCTCTAAGATAAGTGTTGCTGTGGAAAGAATTTCAAAGTTCAGTGTAACAACAAAGTGGACTTTTCTCTTTTGAAACAGAAGCATTTTAAAGGTTACTGAAGAATCAAATATTTATAGCAAACAACTTGTGTTGTAAGTATTACATGGGACCTGTTTACCTATAATAACGGGTGTATTTACCCATGAATTAATCATTGCTGATGCTGATGAGCACAGTTCTCCATGCATTCTCCTTGTGCTATCAGAGTCATGGTACCTATAGGCTCACCTGGGAAGCACATTAGACCCAAAGGTAGACTTTCCCCCACTTTCCATGGAGCATGCTGTTAGGGGTTATTTCCCTTGATTCTTCCTAGTAATAAATTTTAAGGCTTTTTTTTTTTTTTTTAAAGCCATGAGCTTGGAAAATTTAGAACGAAATTCTACCATCAGGGCTGGGGTTGTGGCTCAGTGGTAGAGTTCTCCCCTAGCACACATGAGGCACTGGGTTCACACCTCAGCACCATATTAAATAAAGATAGTGTGTCCACCTACAACTAAAAAATTTTAAAAATATTAGCCTTAATGAAGGCACTAAGATTGTAGTAACAAGTTAGAACCCATTTACTTTGCATTGTCTTCATGACTGTTGCCCTAATCCTAAGGCAGTGAGAGAGTGTCCTAAATTGAAGCATTTGTACAATGCCTACGTGACTACATGGTTACTGAAATGTGACCACATGGGGCAGGACCCTTCCATTTTTCTCACAGAATATTTGCAGTCAGTCTCTAAAATTAATTTGCATGAGCCAAATAACCAGAATTTACTTTTTGTATACATTGGTGCCATAATTAGAACATTAGGGAATATAGAAAATTAGAAGTGAATGCCAATGACTAATATGGGACTGGATTTTTCTCATAAAGGTCATTAGATACTAATTGTTTTTCCTTAAAAAAATTCTAATTAAAGGGAATCAGATGAAATTAAGCTACTTTCTAAAATGACACAATATAATCCAGATTTGGATCTAACATTTTGCCATCAACTGATGTTTAGATGAAGGACTTCCTCTCTGAAGGAGTCCACACCATATTCAGGGGTAAATATATCATTACAGAAGAAATGCTACTGATAAAAGTATTTTTCCATTTTGGACAAATATGTAAATTACACCTTTGTTTATAGAAAAAATGCTTGTAATAGTCACTGTTAATATTCAGGTGTGGATAAAATTTGTGGAAATAAATACTTTTGAATAAAAGTGGTGTGCCAATCTAAACAAAATTTAAAACAGCTACACATTGGCTAAAAAGTGTTTAATGTTAAACTTCATTCTGGGGCCTATACACAAACATGTATCAGTATCATTTAAACCAGGGGTTAGCACACAGTGGTCCAAAAGTCGGGGGTGTTGGAGAATTTTCCCTCTAACATAACGGGGCTTACTGAGAAGCTACTTTAAAGCTATAAAATTCAAGGCACTTTGGGAGTGGGAAGACTTAGCAGATCAATGAAACAGAATAAAGAGCCTGGAGATGGAACTGATTACATGTGTAACACAGCATGTGGTAGAGATTAAAAATGAGAAAATGTTTACAAAATATTGAATTTGTAAGTGAAAAATTAACAAAATAGGGGAAATCATCTGGATGGGTAAAGACTCCATACCACCAACATATTACCAATTGTCCCCTGAATCTCAGTGTCTAGCTCAGTGGTTGTGTGCTCAGCACCACAAGACCCTGGGTTTTATCATGGGGATGGGGTGGTAATATCCACAATGTACTGTTTACTGAAAAGTTGCCTCTGAACCCAACTTCCAATTTAAGGATGGATTCCCCTTCCTTTCTGGTGTCTGACCAGATAGTTGCACTTCAGGAAAGACTTCACCTCAGACTTATCTAGGCCTGTCTTTAACACCTCATCAGGAAAGCTATGAAGAGAGAAATTTCACATCCAGGAACTGGTCTGATGCTGGAATTAGGCCATGTTGTTCTTTTGCACATGAACAATTTTACAAAGTACCAATATCAGATGTTTTTGATTCTGATCAGGTGAGACAAAACCAGAATTTTTGTGTAAGTACAAAAACAAGATTGCTGTATGTAAACCATGCAACACCAAGATACCAAATATCCCCTCATCAGCTACTCTGAGGAACTGCAACTTCACCGGGTGTGGCTTTAGCCTAACTCTAATCTCCCCTCCACCCTAGTGCTAGAGATCAAATCCAGGACACTGAACAGAGGTAGAAAAATTGGCCAGTGTAATAGGATAGAGGTCCCAACCACAAAGACATCCAAAAATCTCTTTTCTGGTTGATTTTGTAGTAGGGGGATCTTATTTCTAAATAAGGTTATAGTCACATAAGAATATTTCTCTCAACAGATAGACTGCATGTACAATAGTGGTCCCACAAGATTATATCACCCAGTCATGGCCATCTTAGTTTGTGTAAATACACTGTATTGTTCACACAATAATGAAGATTCAGGCCATGTCCCCATTAATAAGTGAAGCATGACTGTATGTCAAGATGCCCCCTACTTCTTGACAGCACCCGATCTAGAGAGAACTGCTTCTTTGGACCCTCCTCAAATCACCTAGCTAAAGGTCAAATCCTAACACCCTGTTACTGAGACACTACCCCACCAGTTCCCTAAGTCATATTCCTGGTGTGCTGCCTACCATGTTGCATTGGGCATTAAACCCAACTTATTCAACAATAGGTTTGTTTCTGGAGGTGTTTGGCTTGAGGGAATCAACAGTGTTGTCTTCTTCCACCAACATTACTATTTTACAGAGTAAATTTAAGCCCAAGGATTTGTTGTAAAGTTATATTGTTAAATAAAATTCTAACTAAGGCTCTTTACCTATATAGACACTGAAAATAACTTTCAAACAAACAGAAGAGAATATCAAGTATCTTTCAGCACAAGTCTGAGACAGTCTCAAGGCCACTGGAACTTACCAAGACATAGGGAAAACTTAAAATGAGGGAATTCAGCAATTCAGTGTCTATTATTTTCTGTCTACATTTCTTCTCCTTTACCTTGTTTGCAAATTGAACTTTTTGAAGAGTGGTCATTTGTCGAAAGGACAAAACCCACATTCAATGGATAAAGAAAATGTGGTATATATACACAGCCATAAAGAATGAAATCATGTCATTTGCCAGTAAATGGATGGAATAAGACTATCATGCTAAGTTAAATAAGCCAATCCCCAAAAATCCAAAGGCCGAATGGTCTTTCTGATATGAAGATGCTAATACACAAAAAGCAATAGCTGGGGTGGGTGAGGGTGGGATAGAAGTTCATTGGATTAGAAAAAGGGGGATGAAGGGAAGCAAGGGAGTGGGAATAGGAGAGACAGTAGAATGGATCAAACATACCCTTCCTATGTGCATATATGAATACACAGCCAGTGCAATTCCACATCACATACAACCATAAGAATGGGAAGTTATACTCCATGTATGTATAGTATGTCAGAATACACTCTACTGTCATGTATATCTAAAAAGAACAAAAAAACCATAAGCTAATATTTGCCTTTTAATGAACAAGAATTGAAGACCTCATCACAGCAATTAGATCAGCAGTGAGCATGTACATAATTTTCACAATGTCACTCTTTCACATTCATATGCTCATTTTAAAAAATTGTCCTCACTCCTGCTGACTTCATCAACTTTCCAGTTTCCATTACCGAAACTTCTAAAACCATTGCTGCTTAAGCAGCCATATACCTTGAGTATTATAGGTAGACAGAAATACAGAAAGAAATACTATGCATTTTTTAAAACACTAAAGCTAAATTTGTAAGAGTAGAACAATAATTTTACATTTCATGACAAGTTTCACCTTTAGACCAAAAAGTTACAGCTAATTTTTACATACACAGTGTTGTATAGACTGCACCTACCTAAAGTTATGTAAACATGAAAAGAACTAAATACATTACAGAATAACTCATTTCAAATCATTCTATAGCTTACTTGAAGGACATATTTCCTCCCAGCTTTTATTTTGAAGTAAAAACCTACAGAAAACTTATAAAAATGGAACAATTAACATATACTCTCCATTAGATTCCCCAATCAGTAATTTTGCATACTTGTATTCTCTTTCTTTACTAGTTTCCTTATATACATTTTTTAGTCTTTTGAGAATGAGTTGCAGATATCAAATTCTTCACTTCTAAATATTTGTTTATCTGCTAAAAACAAAAGACAGTCTCCTGCATTTTAACAAAATTATCATAATCATAATTTTCATAATCAGGAAATTTAAAGTCAGTACTACTATCTCTGGATGATTTATATTTGTTTTCCTAATTGTCTTCATCCCATCCTTTCGAGCTTTTAAAGCCAGATTCCAATTAATATCACACATTAAATTGTCACATTTCTAGTCTCCTTTAATCAAATACCATTCCCACTCTTTTCTGTTTTTCACCACATTGACATTTTTGAAGAATTCAGGTCAGTTGTTTTGCAGAATGTCCCTCAATTTGGATTCGTCTTATGATGAGATTCAGGCCATGGGGGAAGGGGGTCTTACATAAGGGTGGTATGTTCTCTATTTAGCAAGAGGATGTCAGTTTGCCCATTATTGATGATGCCAAGCTTATCATTTGGTTAAAGTGATATCCACAAAATTTCCACATTGTGACAGCTCCTCTTCTGAAAGGAATTGTGTGAATATCCTTACATATGTTGATATATGTTAACCTTTAATGTTTTTAAGATCTACTCATTAGTAACATTTGTAGTCAGAGAAAACAGTACAATTTGTAAGTACCTGCTGATGGGGATTTGCAGAATGAATGGGAAATTGTGGTATTTATCCTTTCCTAAATATGTGGAAGGCAAACTGAATAAAGGAATGTGTACAAGAATGTATCTTTTGTGAATATATAACTTGTGATTCGTAAGTATGGATGCAAAGAAATTTTGTCTTTGAAATGAATACCCAACTCTAAAGGCAGGTAAGTGTTCCTGAGGGGAAGTATAGCAGTGCACTTAAAAAAAAAAAAAAAAAAAAAAAAAAAGCTGGCTTGATGACCTTTTCAGTTTTCTGTATGTTGGAAAGTTTTCATCATTTAAAAAAAAAATGGATTAAAAAAACAAAGAGCCAATAAGAGGGCCACCAAAACGTTTGAAGCACGATTCTAGGGCAAGCAATCGCTGACGACCTGTGGTCACGCAATCCAACCAAGCCCAGGCTCTAAGGCGCTCACAGCCTTTCCTCTGCCAAGGCCACCTCCTGCTCGCCCGGCCTCAGTCTGTTCTCAGAACACACTCCATCACCTGGTTCCCAGAACTCAGATTGCGCAGTGGTCTTGTCATCATCGGCCAGGGCTCACAGTTACAGCGGCAGAGGCCTCCCTAAACCTCCCTCCAGCCTAGCCTCGCCCGCTGACCTTCATCCTTCATTTCCCTGCGCCGGGTCCCCTGGCCCCTCTTCACCAGCAACCTTTGCATAATCCTCTCAGGCTCTAGGCAAGCAGAGCTGCCCGTAATGGAGCCTGATCATATAAGGAAAATACTGAGGGCTCAGCCCGGGGCCGCATCGGAGACCCAGGGGCGCCCCGCCCCACTACACTCACTAAACTCACTTTCCCAAATTCCTGGTGCCACTTCTGCTAGCCCCAACCCAGTCCTGCGAGGAGCTCAGCGACATAGGCCTCTGCCCCGCGGTCTGCGCAGGCGCAGATCCAACCAATCCCGCTGCGCCGCCGGAAGCCCCGCCCACCGAGCTTCTAGCCCTGCCCCCCAGCCCTCTGTAGGCCTGGTTGCGGGCCCTAGGCAATTTGGCGCCTGTGGTGTGTTTTTTCTTAAGTATTTGCTAGCGGGTATCCAGGGAACACGGGGTTGTAGGCCAAGGACAGGATGAATGGGATGTCAAAGGACGTTCTATCGATGTGGAAATACAGCAAGAAAGTCTGTAAAAACGATAATATGAGGAAAAAACGCTCCCCCGGGCACGCGTGGTCTTCTCCCCAGGAAACGTGGCACCTTTGGTTCCCACGGGCGGGCGGGTGCGCGCCGGCGGCTGGATAACCTTGGCGTGCGGAGGGCGGGCCTGGGGGCTCCGGGCCCCGGGGAAGTAGGCGAAAGGTCGGGGGCGGGGCCTCGCGGGCCCAAGTGGGAGTCGGCCCCGGATCCCTGGGCTCGCCTGCACCAGAAACATCCGCCGCCGGAACGACTTGCAGCCATGGCCCTGCTCCGAGGTGAGCGCGGCCCCCTTCTCTCCTCGCCCCTCGGGTTCTGTTCCCTACTAGGCGGGCTTCCGCTTCTGGGCTCGGTGGACCGTCAGGGGTGGTCGGGTGAAGTTCCTTCAGTCTTTCCTGTCCTGTGAGGGGACTTGAGATTGCCTTAACGAGAAAACGCTTGTAAGGCACAAGCGACTACTTTTTCGGTGCAATTTCCAGGGCACTGAGTGGAGGCCAAGGTTGACTTGTTTCTGATTTTGGAGGTCACTCCTTCACCTAGTAGTGACTTTCGGGTTCGAGCTCAACTATTGGGAAAAAATGAGGTGTCCCGAAAGCTCAAGGGGGCCTGGAGTAGAGCGGGGGCTATAGGCTCCCTGCTGCCTGGTCCTGGTCTCGCGTAATGCGAACTTGATGTTGCCAGGGAATTTCCCCTCCGCTGGCCTGCTAAACTAAAAGCGCTTGGTGGTGGTCTGTTTGAAGATCTGGCTTACTCCCTTTTCCATTCTTTTAGTTTGAGTGACTACAGGAAAGTGCAAGCATCCAGTATGTAACTTTTTACCCCTTAATTATGTAAAATCCTTTTTTACATGATTACACAATCTGGAATTTTAAAGATGTGTCCTGTTAAAGAACATTCAGGTAGAAAATGGATTAAGGACTTGAGATCCTTGACAGAATATAAGAACCTGGCTTTTGGGTGTTCTAGGGACCAGTATGATCTGTGAAGGAGGTGTGGTTTGATTTTTGTAAATTCAGTAGAATACAATACAGGATTTGAAGGAGAGAGTGACAGCATCTGATTTTTATTCCACCCATTTCCCCACAACTGTAGGGCTGCTTCTGTTAGCATAAGGAGATCACTTTAGGATCAATTGCAGAGGTCCAGGCAACAAGTATCGATGACTTTGTATGGGGACCATGGAATTGGAGGAAAGAAAGAGGGGTGATTTGGTAGAAAGTGGTGATAGATTGGCTCAGGGCACTAAATGAGAAGTCGATGTCAAGAATGACTCTGATGATACCACTTGTGGACTTTGTAAAATAGGGAGGAATAGATTTGGAAAGGAAGACTGTGAATTCAGCTTTAGGCAAAGAAGTTTTTGATGCCTGTGAAACTCCCAGGTGGAAATTCCCAAATAGGGGAATCTGGAAATCAGAATAGCCAAAATAACACATGAACAAAGCAGATGAAAAGTAGGTTTTCTGAAGCAAAAATGCAGTGTATCAAGTTCCCTACAATGCATATTTCATTTTATCAGTGCCCTTCTCAACTCTGAACTTACTACACTTACTTAAGCAACATGTATTTTTTTTTCCTTTTTTGTTTTTATTTTAATTTGTTATATATGACAGCAGAATGCATTACAATTCATATTACACATATAGAGCACAATTTTTCATATCTCTGGTTGTACACTAAGTAGAGTCACACCATTCACAACTTCATCTACTGAAGATGCCCTTCAGTAGATGAATGGATAAAGAAAATATGGTATATATACACAATGGAATATTATTCAGCATTAAAAGAGAATAAAATCACGGCATTTGCAGGTAAATGGATGAAGCTGGAGAATATAATTCTAAGTGAAGTTAGCCAATCCCCGCCCCCCCCCCAAAAAAAAAAAAAACAAATGCAGAATGTTTTCTCTTGATTTAAAGATGCTGATTCATAATGTGGTGGGGGAGAGGGCATGGGAGGATTAGATGAACTCCAGATAGGGGAAAGGGGAGCAATATTTTTTTTTAGACTCATTCTGAAAAACCAATTTATTTAAAAGCTGCCTTATAATAAATGTGCTTTCCTTTTTTATTTTTTATTTTTATTTTTTTGGTGCTGGAGATTGAACCTATGGCTTTGTGCATACAAGGCAAGCACTCCACCAATTGAGCTATATCCCCAGCCCATGGCTTTCCTTTTAAAAAAGAAAGTTTTTATTGGTTTCTCATTTTACTATTTCATTAGTTCTTATTACCCTTTATTTTTTTTATAACAGACCCCTTTGAAATTTTGACAGAAACAATGAACCCAATAAAATATTATACATCAGCACCTGTATTAAGGAAATATGTTAGACATAGTGGTCATTTTTTTTTCCATTTTTTTAAATTTTACAGAGAAGGACACTAATGTCCCAAAAGGTAAAGTGGCTTATCTCTAACAACACAGGTAGTTATTGACTTCATTAAGAGCACAGAACTTGAACTTCTAGTAGTGACTATTACAGGCTATAATACATCAAAGACAAGGCTCACCTCTCAAGTTGCATACCAAGTGCTTGCAGGACCAGTGGTAAGAAGAGCACATGCCTGATTATTGTAAGAAAAAGGATACCTTTGAATGGGAGCATAATTAATACTGGTAAAGACTATCAATAACTGATCTTATTTTAGTCAACAAGAAGAACCAATCCCTCTTCCATCCCAATTTTTATTAGCACCTACCCAGTGTTTGGCAGAAGGTTTTCACCCAGCAAATTCTACTTTTGCTCATAAGCTTTATTGGGTAGTTCATGTTGCCCCTCAAGGCAAACAGGCAGGGCTATTAAGTTACTTTAACTTCTGAAACAGAAATGGATGCCTCAGCAGTTTTCTTAATTTGTTCTAATTGTGGTCTTGAATTAGTAACGAAAGAAGTCTAATGAAATGAGTAAATATTTACCTATGATCTTCCTGGAAAGATGGGCAGAGTTCTTGCTTTGCTCTTCATCCTTTTCCTGGCTGTCAAATCAGCACACCTAGACAGGCCCTTTCTTGGAGTTTTTGACTCACTACTCTTCACCGTCTCTTCACTGTTCTTTAAGTTTGGAAATCTAGTATCTGAATTTTCAGAGCCTTTAAAACCAAGAAAAAAAGATGCAAGATTTTAGGTTGGCAGTAAAGATTGCTATATTTAAACCTTTTTTTTTTAATTAAAAAATTTTAATTAATTTATTTTTAATATATATATAACAACGGAATGCATTACAATTCTTATTACATATACAGAGCTCAATTTTTCATATCTCTGGTTGTATACATAGTATACTCATACTAATTCATGTCTTCATACATGTACTTTGGATAATAATGATCATCACTTTCAGCCATTATTAATTACCCATGCCCCCTCCCTTCCCCTCCCACCCCTCTGCCCTATCTAGAGTTCATCTATTCCGCCCATGCTCCCTCTCCCTATCCCACTATGAATCAGCTTCCTTATATCAAAGAAAACATTCGGCATTTTGTTTTGTGGGATTAGCTAACTTCGCTTAGCATTATCTTCTCTAACTCCATCATTTATCTGCAAATGCCATGATTCTGTTCTCTTTTATTGCTGAGTAATATTCCATTGTGTATATATGCCACATTTTTTTTTATCCATTCATCTATTGAAGGGCATCTAGGTTGGTTCCACAATTTAGCTGTTGTGAATTGTGCTGCTATAAACTTTGATGTGGCTGTGTCCCTGTGATATGCTTTTTTAAAGTCCTTTGGGTATAGACCGAGGAGAGGGATAGCTGGGTCAAATGGTGGTTCCAGTCTTAGTTTTCTAAGAAATCTCCATACTGCTTTCCATATTGGCTGCACCAATTTGCAGTTCTACCAGTAGTATATGAGTGTACCTTTTTCCCCACATCCTCACCAACACTTACTGTGTGTCTTCATAATAGCTGCCATTCTGACTGGAGTGAGATGAAATCTTAAAGTGGTTTTGATTTGCATTTCTCTAATTGCTAGTGATGATGAACATTTTTTCATGTGTTGATTGATTGTACATCATCTTCTGAGAAGTGTAAACCTTTTTGTTTTTTTTTAACTGTAGATTGACACAATACCTTTATTTTATTTATTTGTTTTATGTGGTGCTAAGGATCGAACCCAGTGCCTCACATATATGGGCAAGTGCTCTGCCACTGGGCTACAACCCTAGCCCCTGTTTAAACTTTTTGATAACCCCATAACCTTAGCATCAGGTCAAATAAATATTGACCAGGTTTTAAAATGTCTTATGAAATAACAAGGGAAAATCTTTAAATTGTCTTTGTTTTTGTGTCTGTACATCTGAAATTATCTTTAAAAATATATTTAAAGGTTTATAATAAATATTATAAGTACTTATAATAAATATAGTTAAAGGTTTAAGAGGAAATACTATTTTTATTGATTTTCTTCTTTCAAAATAATTGTATTTAGTTAAGCCCTCACTCAAGCTAACCTTATAGTCTGGGAGCATCAAGTAAGGAGCAGTGCTATGGTAAGAAGGAAGTTCTTGTTATATTTTCTGCCCATACTTTTTCTTTTATAGTGTCATATATTTTGCTGCCCCTCACAAATGCTTTCTTTGATTATGAAGTATGGGGGAGAAACTTGTGAAAGGAACTTTGCAGAG